GCTCTTCCCCACCCCCTGGGACCTTGAAGCAGGGCAGCTGCAGCCCCCATCATCCCCAGGGCCTGGGCCAGCAAGGCTCAGGCTCCAGTCCTGAGGCTACGGGGGATCCTGCCAGTGCCTCCCCTCCCCAGGTTGCAGGAGTGCCCTTTTTCAAGCAGTCCCCAGGGCACCAGAGCCCTCCTCCTTCCCCTAAAGTTTCCAGCTGTAAGCCCCTGAAGGAAGAAGATGAGGGGCCAGTGGACAAGTCCCCCCCGAGAAGTCCCCAGAGTCCTTCCAGTGGAGCTGAGGCTGCAGACGAGGACAGCAATGACTCCCCTGCCTCTTCCAGCTCCTCCCGGCCCCTCAAGGTGCGGATCAAGACCATTAAAACATCTTGTGGGAATATCACAAGGACTGTGACTCGGGTCCCCTCCGATCCTGATCCCCCTGCCCCCTTGACTGAGGGGGCCTTCCTGGCTGAGGCCAGCCTTCTGGCTGAGGCCAGCCTCCTGAAGCTGTCCCCCGTAACTCCAACCCCTGAGGGTCCAAAGGTGGTGAGCGTACAATTGGGTGATGGCACGAGGCTGAAAGGCACTGTGCTGCCTGTGGCCACCATCCAAAATGCCAGCACTGCTATGCTGATGGCAGCTAGTGTGGCCCGTAAAGCTGTGGTTCTGCCTGGGGGAACTGCCACCAGCCCTAAGACAATAGCTAAGAATGTGTTAGGCCTGGTTCCCCAAGCCCTGCCCAAGGCTGAGGGGCGGGTAGGACTCGGGGCAGCGGGGCAGAAGGTCAATGGTGCCTCAGTAGTGATGGTGCAGCCTTCAAAGCCGGCCAGTGGGCCAGGCACAGCAAGTGGCACTGTGATCTCTCGGACCCAGTCCAGCCTGGTGGAGGCCTTTAACAAGATCCTCAATAGCAAGAACCTGCTGCCCGCCTACAGGCCAAACCTGAGTCCGCCAGCCGAGGCTGGACTGGCCCTGCCTCCAGCAGGCTACCGCTGCCTTGAGTGTGGGGATGCCTTCTCCTTGGAGAAGAGCCTGGCACGGCACTACGACCGGCGGAGCATGCGCATCGAGGTTACCTGCAACCACTGTGCCCGCCGCCTGGTCTTCTTCAACAAGTGCAGCCTGCTCCTGCACGCGCGGGAGCACAAGGACAAGGGGCTCGTTATGCAGTGCTCGCACCTGGTCATGAGGCCTGTGGCCCTTGATCAGATGGTGGGCCAGCCGGACATCACTCCTCTGCTGCCTGTAGCTGTCCCACCTGCCATTGGACCTCTGGCTTTGCCTGTCTTGGGCAAGAGTGAGGCAGCCATCACCTCTTCCGCCATTACTGCAGTTGCCACCGAGGCCCCTGTGCTGCCACTTTCAACAGAGCCGCCTGCTGCCCCTGCCACCTCTGCTTACACGTGCTTTCGCTGCCTGGAGTGCAAGGAACAGTGCCGGGACAAGGCTGGCATGGCAGCCCATTTCCAGCAATCTGGGCCCCCTGTCCCTGGGGCCACCAGCAACGTGAGTTGCCTTTACGTTCCTCTGGGGTGGGAACAACCAGATGCCGTGGGGATAAGATCCAGGGTATTGGGGGCCTGAACAACAGGAGTAATAGGGGACAAGTCCCACCCCATGGACTTACCTTGTTTAATACCCCCCTCGACAGGTGTGCCCATCCTGCCCCATGATGCTCCCCAATCGCTGCAGCTTCAGTGCCCACCAGCGCACGCATAAGAACCGACCCCCCCACGTCTGCCCTGAGTGTGGGGGCAACTTCCTGCAAGCCAATTTTCAGACCCACCTGCGGGAGGCCTGTCTGCATTTCTCTCGCCGTGTGGGATACAGGTGCCTCGGACCCCTCCCCTTGTAGAACTTTAGGTCTCGGCACTAACTACTCAGATGGCCTCAGAGAACGCCGTCCTCGGTACCCTCGGCTCTGTTGTGTTGGCAGACTCAGCCCTGGGACTCCAGCCCTGCCTTCCAGTCCTTCCCCGTGAGGATGGGGAGGCGGGCCTGCTGGGCCCCCGCGCTGCCTCCACGGCCTTCGCTGGCTGCTCCCCGTCCACCACTGGTTGCCTTCCTGGAGTCCACCAGGCTTGGGGGATAGATGGGTGGGGAATGGGTGTGGAGACGCGCCCTCTCACCGCGTGCCTCCGGCTTCTTCCCCAGGTGTCCTAGCTGCGCAGTGGTGTTCGGGGGCGTGAACTCCATCAAGTCCCACATCCAGGCCTCGCACTGCGAGGTTTTCCACAAGTGCCCCATCTGCCCCATGGCCTTCAAGTCCGCACCCAGCGCCCACGCCCACCTCTACTCCCAGCACCCCAGCTTCCTCACGCAGCAAGCCAAGTGAGACCTGTGGAGGGCGCGAGGGGTGGGGCCAGGACCACCCATCTCTGCCTGATGCCGCACTGTCCCCCCGCCCCACAGGCTCATCTACAAGTGCGCCATGTGTGACACGGTCTTCACTCACAAGCCCCTCCTCACCTCTCACTTTGACCAGCACTTGCTGCCTCAGCGTGTCAGTGTCTTTAAGTGCCCATCTTGTCCTCTCCTCTTTGCCCAGAAAAGGACCATGCTGGAGCACCTCAAGGTACCGGAGCAGAGGGCGAGCAGGGCTGTTCAGCTGGGCTGACCTGAGCTAGGGTCTCAGCCCTCAGGAGTGGGAGCTTTGCAAAGCCAGCTTCTCCCACAAACAGCTGTGCCCCTGTCTCCCTCTTACAGAACACCCACCAGTCTGGGCGCTTGGGGGAGGAGATTGCTGGGAAAGGGGCTGGAGGCGCCCTTCTGACTCCCAAGACTGAGCCTGAGGAGCTGGCGGTGTCCCGGGGCGGGGCGGCCCCTGCCACTGAGGAATCATCCTCATCTTCAGAAGAAGAGGAACTGCCAAGCTCCCCTGAGCCACCCCGCCCAACCAAACGACCCAGGCGGGAACTGGGGAGCAAAGGCCTCAAGGGTGGGGGTGGGGGGCCTGGGGGCTGGACCTGTGGCCTTTGTCACTCCTGGTTCCCTGAGCGGGATGAATATGTGGCTCACATGAAGAAGGAGCATGGCAAGGTGAGTGGGAGCCTGGCCCTGGGGGAGGGCCTGTGGGCCAGTGGGAATGGGGCCCCGGAGCCTGGCTCTCACCTCCCACCCCTTGCTCTCCCAGTCGGTGAAGAAGTTCCCTTGTCGCCTGTGTGAGCGGTCCTTCTGCTCCGCCCCCAGCCTGAGACGCCATGTCAGGGTCAATCACGAGGGGATCAAGCGAGTGTACCCATGCAGGTAACCCCTGCTCCCACTCCCTTCCTCCTGCCTGGTAGGTAACCCCACGTGCACCCCTGAACTCCCTAGGGTGCTCCCCACTTGCCCTTTGTCTGAGGCCTCCTATTGCTCTGGCAGCCATGGCCTCTCAGGAACCCCAGGCCCCTGGCTGTGTCCCTGGTGCCATCCCTCCCCTCTCCCCCTCCCAGGTATTGCACAGAGGGAAAGCGCACCTTCAGCAGCCGCCTGATCCTGGAGAAGCACGTCCAGGTCCGGCATGGCCTGCAGCTCGGGGACCAGTCCCCTGGCCGAGGGGGTGCCCTGGCTCGGGGGCCTGGTGCCAGAGGTCAGGTAGGCAGAAGCCCGGCCTGCTGGGTTAGGCCACGGGAGCGGGAGCATGCAGGGTTGGCTGCCAGGGACGCGAGAGATGGTGAGGCCCGTTTCCTTCTGCTCCTCTTCAGGGCCCAGGACGGAAACGCCGCCAGTCTTCTGACTCATGCAGTGAGGAGCCTGACAGCACAACACCCCCAGCCAAGTCCCCCAGAGGTGGCCTTGGGTCAGGAGGCCATGGTCCCCTGCGCTATCGGGGCGGTAGCTCAGTGGAACAGAGTCTGGTGGTGGGGTTGAGGGTGGATGGTGGTGCCCAGCAGTGCCTCGACTGTGGCCTGTGCTTCGCCTCCCCTGGCTCCTTGAGCCGCCACCGTTTTATCAGTCACAAGAAGAGACGGGGTGTGGGCAGAGCCAGTGTCCTGGGGCTGGGGGATGGGGAGGAGGAAGCCCCTCTTCCATCACGGTCTGACCCAGAGGGCGGAGATTCACCCCTGCCTGGTTCTGGAGGCCCACTGACCTGTAAGGTCTGTGGCAAGAGCTGTGACAGCCCTCTCAATCTCAAGACTCATTTCCGAACACACGGCATGGCGTTCATCAGGGCTCGGCAGGGGGGCAGTGGGGACAACTAGGCTGCCCCCTGGGCTGGCCAGCCCCTCCCTCTTCCCTGGGAGCCTGGATTTCACTGTTGCTGCTGCTGCTGCTGCCGGCCCCTGGGTTGGAGAGTTAAACTAATACACGTTTTCTTCACTTCTCCTCCTCCTAACCCTAAAGGAGAAAGCTTTTCAGGATCATAGTGATTTACAACCCCCCCTCTTTGGGTTTGGCCCTTGGGCCCTAGTCAAGTGGGCCCTCCATTCCTTTCTGAACCCAACACTAATCATGCTCCTGCTGCACACCCCCAATGTGCCACTGTGGGTAGGAGAGTGGGACTTTGGTAAGTCTGCTAGACAGGCACAGGGAAGGACTGATGGGAACAGGGGGCCTGGACACACCTCCAGTCCTTCAGGCACAGACTGAGATCTCTTCCTCTGGGCTGGGCCCACACTAGCACCCCCCTCCCTGGCACTCCAGCCCCCACCCCTGCAGTGCCTTTCACTTGTCTTCTTTTCCCCCAGAAATCCAGAGGGGTTGGTGGGACGAGTCCTGTCGGGGGGCCCGGGGAGAGGAGGGGACAGGCTCTCAGGAATCCTTTATTCTTGTAGTAATAATAATACTAACATGGGAGAAAACCAGACCATTAAAACTGCTTGTGGTTTCATCCCCATCAGGCTTCTCTTTTTATGTGACTTGAACACTGGACTTGTTGGGAGGGGAGGAGTCCTGGGAAGCTGACCAAGTTGACCAAGTCAGGCAGGGAGAAGCCATCCCCTCTTCTGTGGGGTGCCTTTTGTATCTTGGACATTGAGGCATCTGTTCACTCACCCCCAAAAAGGGAGAGACTCAGAAATGACACAGATGGCTAACTAAGGACTTTATTTCAAACAAAAAATAAAAAATTGAGAGTTGTTTCCCTGGGTATGAGGAAGGGATCAGGGGTAGGAATTCCCCATGGCTAGGTCAATACCCTCAATAACTGGAGGGATTGTAATTCCCCTTCTCAATCCCACTGATGGGGAACCTCAGCAAGTGCAGGACCCTGTGACAGAGCCCACCTATCAAGGGGAACTCTGGCAGGGGTCAGTCCCTGGGAGAGTATCTAGAGTCGGGCAGCAGCATGGCCAAAGGCCAACCACAGGATCAAGTCCTAAGTACCAAGAAACCAAGAACCTATTCTTCCCTCTTCCTGGGACTCAGAACAGATAAGGGGCAGCCTGTGGAAAGAACCTCTCGGGTCCGGTGAGAGGGAGGAGGGCCAGGTGCCCCTCGCATTCATCACCTCTATTCTCTGGAGGGCAGGGAGTCCTGGAACCTGTCAGATGGTAATACACGATGAGGGGCGGGAAGCCCCAGCAAGCCTGCACCCCATGGCCGGCTCCTCCCACCCTGGCAAGCGCTCGCAGTTACCACATGATCCTTTATATTTCTTGCCTTCCATTTCCCTTGGGTGGATGGTTGGGTAGATGGGGTTTCCTGGTTTGTGATTTCTCAGACAAGGGCTCTCCCAGGAGAGGGTACCCTGGATCCCCCCACCACTCTTAGGCCCAAGAAGGAGGGTGTCACATGATGCCATTGGTGAGGTACTGGAAGCCGTCGTAGAGTTTGGTGGTGATGGACCGCATGCTGCCATCCACCATCTGCTCCACCAGCAGCTGGAGTTGCTCCTCGGTCATGCTCATGTGGAACCTCTCTTTGAGGTTGCGGATGGTGCTGGAACCATGGAAGCAAGGAAGCTGAGAGCCTGGAGGGAAGAGTGGGGACTGAGGATCCCGGATAGGAAGGAGGTACAGTGGTCACCACCCCCGGAGCACAGGCAGGTATTCCTGAAGTGCCCCTTCCCTCCCCACTCGAGAGCTGTGGAGTCTGTTCTGTGCAGAGAAAAGGAGCTGGTGGGAGGTCCTGTCTGGAGCTCGTCTGCATCCCGTGCTCCTAAGCCCCTCTGTAGGTGAGGGTATGTGGGCAGAGGGGAGAGGGCCATAGAAAGGGTTGAGGGAGCAGAACTGTGGGGTCCGAAAGGAAGGCCAGGAAGAAACTCGGGATGGGCCCTGAGCTGGGCACACTTATCTGGTTGCAGGCCTCTGCCTATGCTACGTCTGACACTCACAGATGACCTGGGCCACCGTCATCATGGGGCCAGACGGGGATGCTCCTGAGCAACGGCGACAACCTGTGGGGTAGGGGCAGGGTGGGGAGGAGGAGACTGGCAGCTTAGACGTGGTATCCACCTGGAGCCTTGAGGAGGGGGGACAAGGACTGGGGCCCAGGGGAGCTCACAGGAGGGGATCCTAGGCAAGACAGTGGACATCGAGGTAGGACAGGATAGAGGAGAAAGATGAGAAATTCAGCTCAGAGCAGGACAGGTGAATAGTGGGAAAGGAAGGCAGCCTGACATGGGGGAGCAGAGGCCAGGGCAAGCAGGTTGAGCAAGTGGAATGGGGAGGAAAGTCCAGTACGTAGAAACCCCTGAGTAGGTCAAGAGAAGAACCACGCACAGAGGAGATTGAGAGACAGGTGGTAAAGGGATAGGGACATCAGAAGGACCAGGAGGCTACAAATGGGGCTCTTTTTTCCCTGAGGGTGCCAAGGAGGGTGTTTCTGCTGCCCCTTCTTCCTCCCAGGCCCAGCTCTGCCAGGGTCAGGAAGAGTGTCCTGGAGGAGAAATGGCACTGGATTGAGCTGGATCCCTCTCCCCCAACAACCAATTTGCATCTTGATGTGGGAGTCCTAAGCTCTAGGGCCTCAACCTGAGAGGGGATGCGGAGGGTACCACAGGCCCCTGAGCTCTCCCCAGCCCACCTTGCTGCATGATCTCCACGATCTGCACCACCTTATCCATGTGTTTCCGAGCAGCAATCAGCCCTTGCAGCATCAGCATCTTATAGTAGTTGAACATGTCGCCATGCAGGCCACCCATCACCTGGGGAGGAATAAGAGTGTGTGCACCACAGGACTATGGCAGGAGTGATCCCTGTCCTGTGAGCCTTTCAGAAGTGCTGCTTCCTTTCCCAGGGCAATCATGCCAGACTCCACTGTTCCCCACTCAGGAAATCCTGCCTCACCCTGACTTACTGCCATTTCTGTTCTGTTCATCCCTAATTGGGGAGCAGGGAGGAGCCCATCAGCTCCCCCTGCCATGGCAGAGAAAGAACAGTGACCCTGAGGCGCCTCTGCTTCCTGACTCACATCCACAAACTCTGTGGTCAGCTTAAAGGCTGATGTCTCAAAGCCCAGGTTTCGGGGTGAGCTGGACAGGATGAAGCCAAAGTCGATGTGGATGATGTGGCCTTCTGCATCCAAAAGGATATTCCCATTGTGTCTGAAGAAGAGAAAGAGGAGAGGAAGAGTCATAGTAAGTCTTACTGGGACCGAATTTTTTTTTTTTAATGTTTTAGTTGTAGATGCACGCAATACCTTCATTTATCTATCTTTATGTGGTGCTGAGGACCGAACCCAGTGCCTCACACATGCTAGGTGAGTGCTCTACCACTGAGCCACAACCCCAGCCCCCTGAGACCAGACTTTAAAACGGCAAACACACTGGCCATAGGACACGAAGCGGGGGCATCCCCTGCCATGTTTTCTGCTGCCTATAATCCTGAGTCCAGTCTCCTAGGATCTAAAGCTAGCAGTGAAAAGAAAGGAAGCAGAAGAGAGAACCACTAACAAAAGCTGGTGTCTAAAATTCCTATTATTAACAACTTAATGACAATATTTAGCAGAGCACAGTGGCACACACCTGTAATCCCAGTGATACAGGAGGCTGAGGCAGGAGGATCCACAAGTTCAAAGCCAGCCTTAGCAATTTAGTGAAATCCACTCCCAAAATAAAAAATAAATTAAAAGGGCTGGTGATATGGCTCCATAGTTAAATACCCCTGGGTTCAATCCCAGGTACCAAAAATAAGAAGTTTAGGGTTATCCCAATTTCCCAGAAATCTCACTTTTAGTATTCAAACTAGTCCCAATCTAGTAGAGAATCCAGAAGCAAGGAAATAAGGTCTGTGAGGCTCCAGCCAGCTGTCACAGAGGCCAGGCACTTTGCTGTGTAGGAAACCTCCAACAACCAATTAACCCACCTGTGTTTCATTTGTAATCCCTATCAGCCCACTGCAAATCAAGCCCCATCAGAAGAAACAACAATCAGTGGCAAGTAGACTCAGTGAAGTTTAAGTGTAAAATAGTGTGTGTGCTTCAAGCAGTTAAGTTTTAAATCATTATTTAAAAATCTCAAAAGGTGTCAGGTGCACAACTATAATCTCAGTGATTTAGGAGACTGAGGCAGGAGGATCATAAATTCCAGGCCAGCATCAGCAAAGTAGCAAGATCCTGTCTCAAAAAACAAAAAGGACTGGGGATGTAGTTATGGGTAAAAGCATCTGTGGGATCAATCTCTAGCACCAAAACACAAAAATCACCCCAGTAGGCAAGTACTGCAGGCCAGCCATAGGGGAAGAAGAGTTGAAGGGAGGTAAAGCCCAGGTCTTTGTCATTCCCACTAGAATGGCCAGGAGAAAGAACAACTAACATGCTAAGCACTTGAAGCCTAGCCTATTCAGCACAACCAACCTCTCACTGTCCAAAGAGCTCATAGTCTGTCTGAGGGTCACCTTCTCTGGGGCTGGTCTGACTGACCTAAACAGGAAGGACCAAAAGGGAGAACAAGTCCCACCTGAATCCTCCCCTTCTGGAAAAACATTAAAGATTTAGCAGCACCTGCACAACATTGAGAGCCAGAAAGACCATGAGTTGTCCTGCTCCCTTTTATAGGTGAGGAAACAGCCCTGAGAAGTCAAATAACTGACTCGCTTCTTAAGATCCCAAGGCTAATTTCCCTCCTGCACTAACTACCAGACTTGGCTCCAGGAGGAAAGCTGCTTGGAACTCATTTTGAAGTTCAGAGACCTTAAAACCTGCTTCCCGACTGGGGGTCCGTTCATCGCTGCCACCTCTTTCCAGTGGCTGATTCCACTCATGGCTTGACTATATTTTTTTTTCTTAAAAAAAAAAAAAAAAAAGACAAGCTCTGGCAAGGTTAATTAGAGAAAAACTTTGCCTGGTTTACTTTTCTGGGATGCTTGCACTGATGTCTGAATCATCTGGATCAATGACAACCAGTGTGCACACTCTGTAGTAGTTTCTGCACGCTGTGTCTAATTTAATACTACTGTCATGGTATTGATGGATACCAGTTTTGACCAACATAGCACAGTATTTTTCCTTCAGATTTCCTCAAAATTAGGCAGTTGCTGGTGAGGATGACCAATGCTTCACCTTGTCTGGTCATCTTGTACTCTGGCAAGTACCACTTTAAAAAATTTTTTCTTTCAGTTGTAGATGGACACAATACCTTTCTTTTTTTCATTTATGTGGTGCTGAGGATGGAACCTAGTGCCTCACTTGTGCGAGGCAAGCGTTCTACCACTGAGCCACAACCCCAGCCCCTCAAGTACCACTTTTCCTATAGCAAGTGGGAGCCTAGAATTGACTGACTTCAGTCATCTTTTGCATTTTCTTTGTTGCCACCATGTTCCTGCCACAGGTGTAGGACGGCCACCAACCATGAGCAGCCCTGCATCTACTCTGTTTGAAGTTACTAGGAACAGTTTCCCAGCTGCCTGCTCTCCTCCCAACTCCCCTATTAGAGAATACACTCTCATCTTCCAAACCTATCCGTTTCCTAAGGGAAGGCCCTGAGGCCTGACTAGAGCCAGCTTCCCTGCCACCATGTACTCGACGCTGGGGCTGAACCCTAGGTTCTCCAGGGCATGGGCTCAGAATCCGGATGTTTCCAGGCACAGTCCAAAGCTGGCAACCAAGTTCCTTGTGATCACATTCCCCAGCAACTGTCAGAGGCAGCGCTCGTGTTGGTTCATTTGTAGGGTGGAAGGGCAGAATGAGCACAGGTTCTAAGAGCTGCCTGACCCTTACTTCCCTCATGAGGAAACACTTGTCCAACAAGGTTTTCACCTGGTTTAAATGTAAGAATGTAGGGCCATGGCAGGCGCTGTGATGTCAGATTTCTGATAAACTGCTCTCTGTAGCTAATCTTAATAGGCCACCATGTCACCAGGAGCCCTGGCAGCATAGGCCACTGCATTTCTTTTTTTTTTCCTTTTATTTATTTGTCTGTTTGTCTTAAATGGACAGAATGTCTTTATTTGTTTATTTTTATGCTGAGGATCAAACCCAGTGCCTCACCCACATGCTAGGCAAGGCTCTACCACTGGGCTACAGCCCCAACCCTACATTTCTTTCTCTGTGCCCAGGGAGAGCTGCAACTCACAGAAGCATCTGGGGCATAGACCCCAAGTCACTGTCTAGAGACACTCTGAGAAGGCAGGTCCTCAGTGTTGTAATTATGTGCAATAGGTACTTAACCTATATATGTGTATGTATACTAACTCTGTGTAGTTAGGCCTTATAAAATCATGTGAAACTGAGAGAAATAACACTTCTGGGCAAAATAGTGGGTGCTTAAAAGTTGTGAAAAACATTTGTTGGAATGAGAGATAAGGAGTGTTCATTGGCTAGGAGTTTCAACTTCATCTTCTCCATGTTCCTCATGTCCACCTTCTCCTTTCTATTCTCAGCCATTACCACTTCCCTCACTTTTGCTCAGTGCCTCACTTTTGCTGAGGCTGGCTTTGAACTTGTGATCTTCCTGTCTCAGCCTCCTGAGCTGCTGGGAGTATACAGGCGTGTGCCACTGTTCCTGGCTACAGTGAAGGCTTTCTTAATTTAGCCTCAACATACCTGTCTGATGTCACTGCCTGCTCAACCTTTAATCCCCTTTAAATATTTTCTCTCCTGGGACATATTTCCTCCACAGCTTTATCTATCTTCATTCTCCCTGTCCTTTCAGTCCCTATTCATTCAAACCTTTACTCCTCCCATAAATCCTACATTCCTATGCTCTTTCACCCTAGGATTTGTCAGCATCCTCCTTGGCTCAATGTCACATGAATACATCTGTTTCTACTGAAAATACATCGTTTGTTTCTATCAGTGGAGAATTATGTATGAAGGGACACAGCAGACCCTGGTGCAGAACTAGGATGAGGGCAGAGGACCCATACCTGTCCTTGACTTGCAGCAGATAGCAGACCAGACAGTAGCCAGCACAACTTTGCACAAAATTACGCTGGGCACTGAGGAATGCCTCAGTGGTGTAACTGCCATGCTCCTGTAGGAAGTAATCGAGCAGCGAGAGCTGAGACTGTTTCTTTACTTGGTGGATGGACACAGCGTTGACCACTGGTTCAATCATGCCACTGTCGGCCGAAATCACAAGAATCTTGTATGGCTTGATCCAAAGGGGCACTCGCTCCTGTTCCCAAATGGACTGTGAGGAGACATAGAGGTATCAGACTCTCATCTTTCTCCAAACTAGAGAGAAGGCTAAAATCCCTCTCTCTAGTACCTCTCTCCTTGGTGGCCTTGCATTATAGGCCATTGAGTAAGACTCACAGATCAACTGAGGATCAGGAAGTTTTGAAAGGACATCTAGAGCCTGACAGGAAGCTATACTTAAGAGGTATGTGCAGAAAGGTTCTTTGCAGAAAGGTTCTTACAGGTACAAAGTCCAAGAAATGATAGAATAGGAAATATTACTGTCACCTTACAAGCAGGGAGAATGGGAACTATTAGTGTAAGTTCAAATAATAATAATAATAAAGACAGGAAAAAATTTAGGTCCAAAGAAATCTCTAGAAAATAAAAATATTGACATAAAGAACTGGATTAAAGTGGTGAAGCTCTTTGCAGACAACCCACCCAGGGGGCTCAGGGGATCAATATCTCGGCACAGTATAACGCGCCCACCACAGGCCATTTAGGAAGTTCTGATGTAAAGGACAAACAAGGCACCTTGACTTTCAGTGGTCACAACAGGGCAGGTGCAGTTCACCAAAACAGCCAACAGAGGCCGCTGTGGAGCTGTTCCTGTGGCTGCATTTCCCAGGGGAAAAAGCACCAACTTTAGCACCCTTGGGCAGGAAACTGGTCCCCAGGAGAGCTCCCTGCAGAACAACCTGTGTGGTCACTCAGGTGGCTATCTTTCTTCTTCCCTTTCCTTACCTGCAGTTGTTTCAACACCTGGAAGGCCAGCAGCTCCTGCCGAAGGTCATCTCCACATTTGACAATGACTGACAGGAGCCGCCAATTGGGGAGATGGCCATAGGGAGAGCCTTCTCTGATCCTCCTGTTTAGGAAGAAGTAAAGGGTGTCATAGGGTGATGCCAGGGTGAGGGCTTAAACTCCCTGGAAGTCTGATGAAGGTTTTGGAGGCTGATGGCCAACAGAGGTGGTGCTGTGAGCGCCAGCAGTGGCCTTGAGACCACCCTACTCACCGTACTTTCTCCTGCCAGGGCTCTTTGAGTGCCACTGCAGAAGGGTCTTCTGGGTCTCGCTTGAAGGCTGTGGGGGTGTGAGCCAGCTGTTCAGAAAGGCGCCGTCTAGCAGGAAGAAAATACATCCATTGCTGGGAGGAGCGCCCCCAGAGCCCGATGCCCCTGACTATGCTGGTACTCTCTCTACAGTTCTGGATTCTGGATGTACAGACTGAGAGAGACTCACAGGAGGAAGCATAACTAGAAGCACTGTTCTGCTACTCGAGTAGTCTGTGATCATGTTAAAAACGAATGGGCGCTGGGGTCGTAGCTCACTGGTGGAGCGCTAACCTAGCACATAGGAGACACTATCCTTGGCACCACATAAAAATAAATAAATAAAGGTATTGTGTCTATCTACAACTAAAAATGAAGAGTTCCTGGCTCTTCTCATTCCTCTACCACAAGACTGACAGAATGAGCCTAACTCCAGAATCTGCATTTCTGCAGATTCCCTCTGACAGTGATGCACGTCACCATGAGACCCCACTTTGAGAAACACTGCTTGAATTCCCTTCTTGGGTGCTGCCATCCCCTTGGGATCCTCTTAAAGTAATATAATTTTCTGTAGTCACCCAAGCAATGTTTCAACCTGCACTTTCACTGACTCAAGTTTGGTGGCCTCAGGACAAGGACAGAATAAGGAAAGAAAAAGGAAAGACAGGCTGACAGCAGGTGCTAAAGAGAGAGGAAGGGGACAGAGAGAGGCAACAACTGAAAGAGGGATAAAAAAATGAGTGCAGGGCTGGGGCTAAGGCTCGGGCTCAGTGGCAGAGCGCTCGCCTAGCATGCGTGAGGCACTGGGTTCGATCCTCAGCACCGCATAAAAATAAAGGCTTTCTGTCGATCTGCAACTACAAAAAAAATTTTTTTTTTTTTAATGAGTGCAATGTGATCTGGTCATACCGGATATCCCCTGCTGCAATGAACACAGGCTCCTTGCTCTCCTGGCTGGTGATGCTGTCCACGGAAAACTGGGAGATGTTGTCACAGCTGTTGGTGTGCACTTCAGGGAGCTGGGGAGAGCAGGGGAGTGCTGGTCAGACATGCAAAGTGAGCACAGATCCCTCTCTTGCCTCCTGCTTGGTTGCCGTTCCCACGGCATGCGCAGCCCTCCCTTCCAGAGTCCTCACAAAAGCCTCCCCTCTTACGGACCCCAAGCAGATCACAACTACTTGGACCACAAGGTGCCGCGGCACTCAAAAAGTGAATTACCTGCGTCAGAATTAGCGGAGATGCTTGCTGAAATGCAGATTACAAGGCCTTGGCATTGGTCTGAATTAGAACTGTGGGGGATGAAATCTGGAAGTATGGAATTTTAACAAGTTCTCCAGATTTCCAACACACTAAAGTTTGCAAATCATTGCCATGACCTCAAGGAAACCTGAACTTTCAGTATCATACTGAGAGCCCCCTACAGTTAAACATTCCACCAGGCCTGAAGGCCCCTATCAAGTCCGATATCAAGTCTCTGTACCAGAGCACTTCTCTACTCCGTTTGTCACCCAGTACACAACCCTATCATCCTTTCTTCTTCTGTGGTAACAGGGATTGAACCCAGGGGTCTTCTACCACTAAGCTACATGTATGTATATTCAAAGACAAAGATTCTGTCTTTTTCATAGAATGGCTCTACGTAATCCTGCTCTTGCTCCCTATAATCCCAGAATAAAAATTTCTTTTCACAGCTGACAGGATCCTGCCTAACCAACTCTCCAGCCTTATTCTAGCTCTACAAATTTTCTTTAGCTCTTATCAGGAGCCAAGCTCTCTCTCATCTTCTAGTCTTTATATGTACTTCTTCTGCCCAAATGTTTTGTCCAGCTAATCCCTACCATGCTTCCAGCCTTGGCTGAGAGATTACTTCCTCCAGAAAATCTTCTGACTCCCTCCCCAAGTCTGGAGTAAGCACAACCTCCCCCACTGGTGCTCTCCTAACACCCCGTGCTCTGCAGGCACCACAACCTGGTCACATCTCACTCTAACTTCCTGCTTCCTAGTCTGTTCTTTCCCCTGTTCGTTCACAAATTCCCTTGTTTACTAGTATACAGCACTTGAGTCTGGAATGAGAGACTGTGTGACTTACCACTCTCTGCTCTCCTAAGTCAACTTTATAGAGCAGCTGTTCTTCAATAAATATTTTCATTGAATTTTCCTCATTACATTAACTTGCATTCCTTTTGTGGGAGAATGAGCTCTATCGTCCAGACGGCTGCTCAGAGCATTCGCCTCACACTACTCATGCCACTCATTTGGGCACGTGCCTCACCTGCCAGGGGGTTTGTTATCTTGTCTCAAATATATCGAAGCTTGTGGAGAATAGGTGCTGTGCCCTAGGGTTACCTCCTTGGAGCTCCCTCACCTCCACCTGCAGCTCGCCTATGTCATCCACCGACCAGGCTTCATCGTCATTGTCATAGTTGGGCACAGTGCTAAAGCTGCCAGCCCGCTGCTCGTGGGTGATGCCACATTCAGGCAGGTTCTCTACAGATCGTGTGCTCCGAATTCGGTTCTCAGGGATTCGGGCGGGGACACTGGTGGTGTCGAAGTTTTCACATTCAAGGACTTCCACGTAGATCAGGTAGGGAGCCTGACGTGGGGAGTGAGGACAGGATTGGTAGCTTATCTCCACAACTACCTCCCAAATCTCAACACCACGTTCTTCCTGTTGCACTGCCCAGCCCCAACCTGCATTCATCATCAGTCCCTTTATACTATGGACGCCATATTTTTAGGGCAGGAACTTGTCATATGATTACATATGTAAAGAATCTGGTAAGAGAGTATACAAGTTTTTCAAATTTTCATTTGGGCTTCAAAATGCACAATCAATATGGTTGGAAATAACTCTTCCAATTATCAACCGCAGCTTGTAAGAGAAGCCTAGAGGTCTCTGTGGGCTTGTCTTAAAGACAGGGCCAAAGGAGCTGCTGTGGCAAAGACTGGTTAAAACTGGGCATTGTCCCAAGGAGCATTCTAACCTTCAATGCTTCCTCTCAAAGAAAAATCTGAACCATCATTACTCACTTCAATCAACAAATTCGGCTAATTCTCTCCAATATGAGTTGGGCATCCTTCTCTCCTCCCTGCCCACTCTGATCAGAAAAGGTCTTAGAAACAAAACGTTTCACTACCATCATGATTGCTGTATCTGGACAGCCCAAGAGAGTTATAGGAGGGCTGGAGAAGAGCTACCAACATGACTGTAAGGAGTGGGTGGAGAGTAATTCCCCTAAAATCCAGCAAGAGGTGAGCAGAAAATATCAGGCTGCTTTGACCCAGAAAAGCAAAGTCCAAGAAGGGTATGACAGGAAGAAGACTCACAGGATCTTTACAGCACTGAAGAAGAATCATGGCTGACACATGCAATTAATTATGAACTATGCAAGATGTCGAAGATGTGTTAGGCGAATCCCTGTGCATATACACAAACTCTGGACAATCATGGAGGGAGAATCATATCAGAGTTAGGACCTACCTTGTCCTTGGAGTTGAGGACAACAGCCTGTGTGTGGGGCACGCGGACCACGTGGTGGTCAAAGCCAGCAGTAGGCAGCCAGACTCGGGCAGGGAGCTTATGGTTGAGCAGGGAGAGCTCTGAGATCAGCCGCTGTGTTTTCTGCTCTTTGGTGGGGAGCGTGGCCAGCCGTTTTCCAATTGCCATTAGGGACTTGATGAATTCTCGCTCGGGGGCCAGTCGGACAGGCTACAGGAGGGTGGGATGAAACAAAATATGGTGAGGAAACCATTAAAAAAAAAAGTGGCCCACCCCTCAATCTCTCCTGGCCACACAGGCCAGGGACCCCCGCATTTGGGGAACTCTAGGAAGAAGGCTACCTTTTGGCCATGGCAGGAGATTTCACCCCACTGTTTCTGCGTAAACTGACAATAGCCAGCCCGTTCCATTTTTGTGTGCTACTTCTTGAAGATATATGGGGCCAGGATCCCAGTTATTGAGAAGCACCCCTCCTCTTATTGAGACCCTCAAGTAATGTCTCAAGGTTTCAAGATGGGAAGGGGACATCTGGAGGTCAGTCAGGGCCCCAGACAGAACTGCTTACATCTAAGGTGCTTTACTCAAGAACAAGGCTGTACCTCTCCCCATCTGGACCCTGGGCTGGATCTCTGCTGTGGGACTCTACAAGCCCACAGGCTGGGCAAGGGAGCCTGGAGAGCTCTGCTGGGGTCCACAAGGGTAAGGAAGGGAGCTTCAAGTCAATTTCTCCTTTCAAAGTCATCCAAATGACTCCTGTTGCTTTCCATGGTACTCCATGCCCTGTCCACCCCACAGCCTCTTACAAGGAATCAATGCCATGCAGGGCATGAGAAGAGGATGAACACATCTGCATTAATGAGGACATAATAATGGGAAAAGAAAAAGCAGACTGTGGGGCTGGAGTTGTGGCTCAGTGGCAGAGCGCTTGTCTAGCACAGGTGAAGCACTGACTTCAATCCTCAGCACCACATAAAAATAAATAAATAAAATAAGGGCATTGTGTCCATCTATAACCAAAAAAAAAAAAAAAAAGCAGAAGGAGGGAGGTGTGTGTAGGAGGATGGAGAAAGAAAGCAATTGCTCTTTTTTTCAGTCCTGAGGACGGCCCTGAAGGCCTGTCTCTAATGATTCCTCCTGGGGTCCTCGTCCTCTACTTCTCGAAGCTAGGCTTCCTGTCCCAGTGCCCTGCTGTGAGCTGGGCTCCTCAGACTGGGCATGTTAGTCATCCTCAGAAAGGGCACCGTCAGTCTGGGGAGTGAGGTGGGAGAAGATGCACTCGGCGGCACACACAGAAGTGCGCTGCTCCCGGTCTCACTTCTTCTACCACAGGGGGCATTTGTTCAAGACCGACACCCAACTAGCCACCCAGCTCCCCAGCCCACCTTCCCACAGCTGGATAAGGATGGTGTCTCCTCCTCTTACAGCAAATAGTAGTTCACTCACCAGGTTTTTCTCTCCCTTTCTGAGTGTGTCTTGCTTAGTTTCCTGATTGAGAATCTCTACCCTGACTCCCTCACACTGCAAAAAAAAGAGCTTCTTTTGAAAACTGGGAAGTATCTGGTCTGCCTGGGCATGGGCGACAGCCAGAGTACAGAGGATCAGCTCTTTTCTCAGCCTCCACCCATGATGGGAGGAGGTGGGCGGGCTTAGAGCACCACGTGGTGATGTAACAGGGTGCTGAAATCCGTCAGGAATGTTTTAGGAGCAGGGTTAAAAAGAGACAAAAGGAAGACAACAGAATTGGGTTTCTATGGCCCCCAGATATATCCTGGTGGCTTAATAGAAAAAGAAAACAGGAAGTTTGAAGACTCACTCCTTCATCCTGATCCCCTAAACCATCCACTCAGGTGGCAAGTGGTCACTGTCCCAAGGACCCTCCACCCAACCAATTTAAAGTCATCTCAGGTTAGAAATGGCAGAATTCCTTCCGATCCTCAAATCAGCATTTGAGCTGGGGGCCCCCAAGTTCTGTGAGCATTGGAAACGTGACCCCAGGCCTCCAGAGAAAGGCTCTGCTGCCTGGGAGGAGATAGGAATCATGGTTGAAAGGGGATTGGCACAGAACATAGAAAACTGATTGGGTAGACAAATAGAAAATAAAATGTAAAAAAATCATCCAAACTCCCAGAGGGTCCAGCATTTCCTCTCACGTCTTTGCCCAGCAACAAGGTCCAAGACCCTGTGGGACCAGAGGGTCAGGGTTAGTCCAGAGGGAGCAAGAAGGAGAATGGGGATTAAGGAACATCCTGGGCAGTGAGCTGGGAAAAGGGGAGAATTCCGACCTGGAAGAAAGGTGGTTGATGTTAAAAAGAAAACGAGCTATGGAGAGGTAAAGCTTCCCTTCAGGCCAAGTCCTGTTTGCTTTTGGAGTGGAATCACCCAGCACGGGGCCTAGCATTTAGAACGCTGAATAAATATTTGATGGTCTGATGGCAAAAGCCATGGAGAAAGGGTCTGGGTGGGAGAAATGGGATCCTGGGGGTTTCTGCCAAGCAGTTCTTGGCTCTGATCCAGGAGTAAACTCTACCTCTCTCCCAGCTGTTTGCTCCAGAGACCCAGGAGCTGGGGTAGAAGAGCACAGCAGCCCAGCTGTCTCTGAGAGGAATAAACTGAGCTCATCTTAGTATGGCCTGGCATTGGCAGGAAAGGTCAGGGAGACTTCTCCGTGTCTGGGAGGGAGAAGCCTCAGAAATCAAAGGGCCTTTGAACTCCAGCTTTGGCCTGGGGGCTCTGAAGACCTGGGACGGGAGAGGAAATGCGGCCATGGGGGGAGCCTGCCACCCGTCCCAGCCTGGCCCCACTTACGGAACTGAATGGATTATCAATACTCTCGGTGCTGGAGGAGAACTCCTGGGAAGGGCCAGAGGGCAAAGGGGAAAAGAGGGGGCAGGGTGGAAAGGGGGAGAGACAAAGGCAAAGAGTTTAGCTCAACTCGATCATAACGGCTACTCCTGTGCAGCTCTACCTTTCTACTTTAATGAACAAGAGACAACCTAGAAATGTCACTTGCCCAGATTAGACACTTGTAGGAGACGCTAGAAGGCCAGCTTAGAACTTGAGGTCAGAAAGGCTGATGAAACAGGCATTGCTTGTTTTCCACTATAGTCCCTTTGATTCTTTTCTTTTTTTTGGGGGGGGGGTGGCAAGCGGGGTATTGGGAACTTAACCTAGGCATGTTTTACCACTGAGCTACATCCCCGTCCCTTTCTATTTTATTTTGAAACAGGGATTCACTAAGTTGCCAAGGCTAACCTCAACTTGCCATCCTCCTGCCTCAGTCTCCTGAGTAACTGGGCTTATAGGTGTGCACCACTACACCCAACTTGTTCCTTTTTATTCTTGCCTGAATGAATCTCTTTTTATTTTTCTTTTTTTGGTACCAGGGATTAAACCCGGGGGCAGTGAACACTGAGCCACATCCCCAGACTTTTATATTTTTTCATTTTAAGACAGGGTCTCACTAAATTGCTTAGGGCTTTGTTATATTGCTGATGCTGGCTGTGAACTTGAAATCCTCCTGCCTTAACCTCCCAAGTTGCTGGGATTACAGGTGTGTGCCACTGCATTTGGCCTGAATGAATCTTCCTTTTAGGATGAAACCCTAAAGCTGGGTCCCTAGGTAAGTAATTACACTGCCAACCTTCCCTGCTCTTTGTCTCCACCCATGGATCCCCACAGAGAGACTGGATTCAACACATTGCACAACCCCCACACTGGAAACCCCATGCTTTTTCAGCCTCTCGTTAATCTCAGTGGGGAAGAAGAGCTAAACCTTCAGTGCCTAGTATATGTGCGTGTCTCCTTTACAATTAGACTCATTACCACCCTGGGAAGTCCAATAACAACCTGAACCCAAAGTCATCCCAGACTCATGAACCTGAACCCCTTGGGCTGGAGGCTGGTGGAAGTGGAGGACAGGTCAGTCAGGTCAGTCTCATATCAAACGTCCGTAGGCTTCTTATCAGGTTATTGCACTTGACACTCAATATGTTACAAATTTTTGACTTAAGTTTGAGAGTCAGGTACTAGCTAAATTCACCTGAGAAAGCTGATTAGCTGAGACAGCACCTCTGTGAGTCCCAGTTTGGGGAAAAATCTAAACTTCTCCCCCATTCTTGTGTCTTACTGCTGTCTATGAACAAAACAGGGGACAGGAATGGTGGTCAAACTCTCATTCTGCAGCTCTGATACCACAGGGCTATCGTGGGTTCTACCCAACAAGGTCTACCAAGGCAAGGAGCATGGGGTGCACTGTATGCAAACATGCAGGAGGGGAGGGGCCTGGACTTCAGAGGCAAACTCCTGCGAGCCCCCAGGGAGGAGGGCAGTGAACCCTGAGCTTCCACTCTGCAACTGGCATTTCAAGCACTGACTTAACACCATAACTCAAGTTCTACTCCAGCAGGAGCTCCCATAGGCAGGTCTTTCTTGAAGAACTCTTTTGAGGGAGAAGTCACACTTGGACACACTCCCCTGAGGCCACAACTCTTCCACTGTGGGTAAAAGTGGGAGGAAGAACTGAGGCAGTGAGGAAGGCCAGAATGGTTCAACCTCTCCCCATGAACTGGCTGGGGAAGGGACAGCAGGCAGGACACTGGCTCCAGGAACGCTCCGTGGACTCTCTCATAGACAGGTCCCAGCAGACTCATTAACAGCGTTGGGGGAAAGGAGGAGCATCAGGACCTGCTCTCCTCCTACTCCTGAGCTTGAGTCATTCACACTGAGTCAGCTCCAGGGAGTAAAGCTCAGGCCAAGAAGCTGACATCACGGCGCATCAGGCTAGAAGGCCCACTGGGCTTCCAGTATGACAGCTAACAGATTTCTGGGTACAAAGGTCGCAGTCCTGAAGACAAAGCTGATCTATTTAGAGTGTCATTATGTAGGGCAGGGTGTGGGGTGGGGGGGAGTACCCAAATCATTCTCTGCTCCCTCTGCCTCTCTCTATGCCAAAAATATTTATCATTTGGTCACATGGGAAGAAAATCTATCTGTGCAGGGGTCTTGGAGGAGGCTGATAAAAACTGGGTTTGGAGGAAAATGGTGGGAGATGAGAGAACTGAGTGCTAGGTCCACTGTTTGGAGTATAAAAAATTCCTCATGAAAAGATAATGGAACCTTCAGTGAGATCTGGCCAGAGCTCTGCAGATAGACGACATCAGGAGAACAGAGCTTCCTCACTGAGGCTCACTTCACCCTCTGGCACTTCTCCATTGCAGAAGATTATACCCAGAAATCAAATGGAAAGTAGAGCTGAGCACCATGGCACACTTCTGTAATCCCAGCAACTCAGAAGGCTGAGGCAGGAGGATCCAAATTTGAAGCCAGCCTCATCAATTTAGCAAGGCCCTAAGCTACTTAGTGAGACCCTATCTCAATATCTTTATTTAAGTTATTTATTTTTATGTGGTGCTGAGAATCGAACCCAGTGCCTCACATGTATGAGGCAAGTATGCTCCACCACTGTGTCACAGCCACAGCCCCTCCCTGTGTCAAAATAAAAAATAAAAAAGGCCTGGGGGTGTAGCTCAGTGGTAAAGCATCCCTCCCTAGGTTAAATCCCCAGTAAAAAAAAAAAAAAAAAAAAGAGTGTCAGGGCCCACCTAGAAATTCTCCTTCTAGAATGTCAGTGCAACACTTAGAAAATTCTGTGCTTCACTTTAGTAAGGTGTCTACTTACTGCCTATGCACAGTTAACAACTTCAAGTCACAAACTAACCAGTTACCTTAGATACTGGGGTGTTCTGCAATTCCTAGAGGAAAGAACACATTTTATCCTCTACTCTTTGCTGACTTTCAAACAGGGCTTTGATGATGTACACGATTAGTAACTCCTTGTTGAAGGAATGACTGAATGTTGCATGACAGGGAGGAGGACGGACAGAAGAAGGAAAGCTGTTTCCTTTCCTCTGGGGAACACGGCCTGGATAGACATAGCCTCAAAATGTCAGAGGGGTTAGAAGAAACCCCTGTGCTGAAGACTTGCCCAGTGCTTAGAAACCCAGCAATATTTACATTTATCCCACCCCGCCTTGCGCTCACATTTCCTAAGGAGCCACAGTAGACAGGTGTCTCATTTTGCCAGCATCAGATAATGATTACCCAGGAGAGCCTGGGAACATGTTATCTCTTTCCTTTCCTGGATCTTAGTGACCCAAGATAAGAAGCCAGGTTAGGAAGAATGGCAGCTGGAGAACCCACCCCAGAGATTTAAGCACTCACAGAACACCTGCCTTTCAGAGCCTTCCATCATTTTAGAGAAGTTAGATGCAAGGAAGAAGGATCAGGACCAGTGCAAGGAGAAAGCCCTACGGCTTCAGCTTTTTCTGGTCCTACAATGAGGACTACAGAGTGGATACAGAGAAAAGCCAAGCCCGACAAGAGTATCAAGGAACTCATTTCTGCTGCTCACACCCATAATGCCCAGGCTGGACTCCCAGGATGAGGCAGTTCTCAAACCCTTCATGTCCTCAGTTTCACCACAATCTGGAGGACTCTTCTTGCTCTGCAACCACCTTTCTTCATGGACCCTGAGATCTGCTGCCAAGCTCAAACAAAAATGAAAATGGTTCATTCTGGTCTGAGAATAGTTTAGGCTTTGTCTGTGAATAGATGTGGAAGTGTAGGTGGCCACAGCACAGCCCTTCTTCCCAATGGCCTCTGACAGCTGAGACCTGAGGAAGAAGATGCTGAGAAATAACCAAGGCAGCTCAGCTGAGTGATTATGAGCACAAGCCGTGATCTGGGTCCTGGTCTGATATTCACCAGCTGACGCCTTAGGCAAATCATTTAACCTCTCTAAGCCTCGGTTTCCTTGCTGGTAAAATAATATATGTCTGTTAGGGTTGTTGTGAGGATTAAGTGTCAAAAATCTGGCATGATGCCTGGCACATAAGTGCTCAATAAATGTTAGCACTTTTAGCTTTACGATCCCTGCATGATCTTGATAAAACACCACATTTTCAGAGACAGCAGGCTCTGCAGTCTCCCCTCCCCCTGATTTTTTCTTCCCTCGTCACTGTGACCTTCCTATACTTGGAAGAAGCCCTACTGTATTGACAACGTGGGTGGGTTATGCCCCACGGAGGCAGATGCCAGCACTGTGGCCATGCACATTTTCCAACAGTGCAAATTCCTCAGTTTTTTCCTCCCTTCTTTTCTAGACTGGGCTGGCAGCCAAGATGGGAGCCCGGCCAATGGCAAATCAGAGAGGAAGACTAGGGCACCATTGTCCAGCTGGGATACCAGGTCTCTGAACTTGGTTGTCCACTGGGCAACTTTCCCTTGTTATCTGTCCAGATGTGGAGTGGACGGTGACCATATCCTACTGATGTGCGCATCTCCTCCCTGTTCTGTATCGTACACCCCCAACTGCTACTCAGCTTCGTCTTCTTCCAGCCTCAGGTCCTGGACTAGGCACTAAGACTTACTGCTTCTCTTGTCCCTTTGTGCTTCTCCCAAATGATACGATATGGGAAAGACACTAGCAAGGAACTCTACTGCACAAGGAAAGTCAGGCCAAAGAACCCCCTGAGATGCCTCAGTGATATGGAGTGAAGCTGATCCTATGTTGTCAATAAAAAGCAGGCTCTTCAGGGGGTAGGGGAGAGGGATTATGAAAAGGAGTGGCCAGGAGAATGAAGCTGACGTTCTGTTTAACATCCTCCCTCCCCCAGAACACACAAAAGCCACAGCCCCTTCTCCTTCCCTAGGAGTGCGGCTCTGAGAGGCTCTGGTAGCATTCAGGTCTCAAGCCAGGGGGAGAGGGTCTCCTGCAATAAGTATGGAGTTAATGGGCGGCAGTACAGTCTAGTAAAGACTCTGTGGACAGCCAGGGGCCTTCCTATTAGCTATACGACCTGAGGCAAGTCACTTTATCTCTGAGTTCCCCTGTAAAAGGAGACAGTTGGAATACATGAATTCTAAGGCTTTTTTCCATTCTAACATTCCATTCTTTTATCAGTGAAATGAAACAGAGGAAAGGACAGAAAGGACAAAGTAACCCCATGAGGACATCCTATCTGCGTGCAGCCCTCTGCCAGCCGGCCTTTCTGAACCTCCCCACAGCTTTACCTCATCCTCATTCTCCACTTTAGGGTTGCTGGCTGTCCGTTTCAGGTTGCTGCTGAGACTTATGCTGGCGGTGGCATCTGACTTAGAGCGCTGGTGAGTCCTTTTGGAGGGAGACAGCCCGGTATCAGGGGCTGGGCTCAAGGAGGGAAGTTCTCTCTTTCGGTGAGCTGGCTTCAGCTCATCTGAGAGGATTAGCTTCCGTAACTTGGTCCCACGGGAGTGTCGCTGAGTGGAAATGTGCATGTCTGAAGAGTAAGCCCCAAGCAACAGGGCACACTGGAGGGAAAAGTTAATGCTCTGGCGACAACGGTGGACGATATAGGGCTTAATGGCATCACCCACGTCCTCATCCATGTGGATGTACATGTTAAGCAACTGGGGCAGATAGAAGTCCACATCCTCATTGCGAAAGCAGAAGAGCCGGTTGCCGATGTAGGCTTGCACTCCAGGCTCCTTGGAGTTATACAAGTATGAAATAGCCATGGAGATGTCAAATAGTTTTGACTCAAACAGCCTCAGCAGCCAAGATTGTTTGGCTGAGTTGTTCTGCCGCCGCCTTCTTGCTCCTTTGGCTGTGCTTGAGGCCACAGTGGCCCCCATCTCATCTTCCTCCTCTCTGATCTGGGAAGGCGGGTCGTCTAGGCAACGGATCTCACTGTCCACACCATCCCCATTGACCAATTCCAGTGGGGTGCCTCTACTAGAGACAGCCATGCCTCCATGCAAAAGCTTGACTTTCTCCAGCACCTCCTGGCAGGCCTTCTGGGCCACCTCAGGGTCAATCACTGATAGTTCCCCGACCCCCTCTGTGATGACGCTTAGCAAGGAGCCCCCATTATTCCCTGGTGGGCCAGGAGTAGGCTCGGAAGTTGGATTCAGGGGGGCAGATTCCACTACCGTGTCTCCCATGGCTACAGCCAGACTTCAAGCTTCCAAGCTACAGGAGGGAGGGAGGGAGGCAGAGAGAAGGAGGGAGGAACAGAAAGGGAGACATATACACACTGGTTAGTGGTGCCCCTCAGATCTTCCCTTCACCATGAAACCTCCCCAGGCACCTCCTCTGTCTGTCTTCCTGGACTCCTTCAAAATCAGAGCAGTCATCTCCTCCCAGGGAGGCTTCCTTCACTGTCTCCACTTCTGATCACTGTGTTATTCTTCATTCCTTCTGCACTTAGTTACTCAGCTTAGCCTCACTTCTTAGCCTGTTCTTGTGAAATGTTGCTTGATATGCATTGTGTTCACACAGGCTTACAAATGCCTCAGGGAAAATGAGTAGCAATATGAGTCTTATTCCCTTGTTCTTAATTCTCCAAATAGTTTTCTGCCCTCTTCCTCTTCTTGTGTCCCCCTTCAAAAGCCTGTCATAACTTCTTCTTCCCCTCCTTAAATTTTATTTTCTTACTCAAAGGACAAATCACACAGAGTCCTATGCATCTCACCTCTATTTAGTGTTAAAGTCTTGATATATTTTTCTAGTTATAGATACTTTCTTACCTTCCCTTTTAGACTCAAAGCTCCCAGGGAATAAAGGCCAGCAAATACCATGCCATGCTTAGTTTAGAAGAAAACAGCTCTAAAACAAGCACCATCAACCCCGCTGAAGCTGGGCCATTTCTTTGCTTGTCTGGGCTCATGACTTCATACCCTTTCTCCAGGGCTGTGGCAGCTGAAGTACAGTGGAAAGAACCCTGGACTTGGAGGCAGATAGGCTGGGGTTCAGATTCTCACTCTGCCTTTATGAGATGTACAGACTTATGCAAGCCACGTATCTTCTGAGTTTCAGTTTTCTCAACTGCAAATTGGGAAAAAAAAATACTTACTTCTCCTTGTTGCCATGAAAAAGAAATAAATTAATGTGTATGAAAAGATCTAGCACAGTCCTTGGCACATGGTAGTACTCAATAAATGCTAGTTGAATCTTAACCACCTGAAAGGTTAGTAAATAATGTGTGTGTGTCTATACACACATATTATTTTTGTAGGATAAGTGAATTAGAATTATATTAGTTGTTTAAAACTCTTCCAAGATATTTATAATAGCCTTCTCCTGCCCCAAAACTACTTTTCCCACTATTATACACACACTCCAAGAAGTGGAGGGCTGGCTGTAAGAGGGCAATAAGAAATCAGGCTGGCACTCATGGATCTAGAACTTCTAAAGAACAGAGAGGAAAAGAAATCATAACTAAGAATGGTTAGAGAACACCATTGACAAAAGCCACTATTTTCCAAGAGAAATTCTTCAGAGCTTCACCAAATCCAAACCAGGAAAATCAGTGCAGAACAGAAGGAAATTGTGTCAGATCAACCTGTCTCCAGAATCTGGCTCTAGCCAACAATGGATTCAGAGTCCTCTTTGCAAAAATGCAAATAGATTGAAACTAAGACATACTTAAGAGCACAAACAAGAGAGAAGTAGCTTTTGTGGAGCTGCAATGCAGGTAATTTCCTAGTGACATCACCTTTGATCCTAAGAGCCTGGGTGCTAAACATAAAGATTTGGGTGGGTAGAAAAATGGTGCTAAGCATATAGATTCTCTAGGCATTTTGGGAAGCACTGTTTTCTACACCACCTTTCCTTGTATTGCACCTCTGAAATTTTAAGTGTCAAGGTTGCTTTCATCTGCCCAGTATCAAACAGTCCAGTTTCCTAAAGTTTTGTAGAAAGACAGATGGGGAACTCTTCTGTTCTCAGAGATCAACAAAAAAGGCTACTTTCGTTCATTATTCTTCCACGTTTGTCAGGCAAGACTGTCTTCCAAGTCTCTTTAATTTCCCTGATGCAGTTTGAACTTTGTATTGGTAAGAAGGTGGCAACTCTTTCACTATGCTCTCTCCCAAAATTAGGCAGTGCCCTGAGTCGTAGAACCAGCATGGTTGCCTATGTGGATCTGTCTCTACTTGCAACATTGGGTTACACAGGAATAATAAGAAAGAAGCTTTAATCATTCTCTGCTAAACTTTGTAGGGCACTCTCATCAGAAGGTCACTTTAATTCAACCCTCTGCCTTTTTAGATCTGCTTAGAGACTCACATGATGGCCTCAATCATACTGCACAAATAACTCTTCTTCTCAATATGTCTATGCTTGGTGCATTCCTCTCTTTCTCTAGAGACTTCCAAGTCACTAAAAACTCCTAAAGTCCCCTTTTCTAAACTTTAAAGGGCGGCTGGGAGTGTAGCTTTGTGGCAGAACACTTGCCTAGCATGAACAAGGCCCTGGGTTCGATCCCTAGCGTGACAAAAACAACGAACAAACAAACAAAACCCCAACCTTTCAAGGGAAATGAAATTCACACCTTTGCTCACATTGAGTGTCATAGATCTAAGAAGTTAAGCAGATTCCTGCTCCAATTTTAATCATGACTGGGATTATTATTGGCATAGGAAGGCAGGTAAGAATATCATTATCTCTTTATTCCATAGATAAAAGAAGAAAAATTCCTAGGGCTCAGCTAGGAATTCCATATCACAGTATTTGAAGGACTTTCTCTATGAACAGATGCCTCTATCCACCTTTCCTCCAGTGATGTCAAAAGGTATAAGAAAATCAGACTCCTGTCCTGTATAAGCAGCTCTGCCAGCAGAAACCAGCAATCTGGACCTGGGCCTCTCCTGGCTCTCAGGGACTCAGGGATTGCCTGTACCTGAAGCAAGTCATGGGGAGAAGGAATGCTGGATGGAACAGGGTTAGATGATGTTGACAGTGTGGACAATAAAAATAGGAAAAGGATTCTCTAAAACCTAAATCTAGATATTGTCCTCAATACAAATTTATTCATTCTCAAATACAAAGAAAATATGCCCTTAATGGCTAACAATTCTAAAGAAAATCAAAGGATTAGAATGCAAAAGAAGAAAAGTCCTGTACTTATTCCAGAAGCCTAAACTTTCCTTCCAGACAGACTACAAGGGAAAAAGAAGAGGCCTCCTCTGCTCCAGCCTGATAGGCAGCTCCCAGGAAAGGTTGGTGGGAGTACTGTGTGCACTGACAACCAATTGCGCTCCACAGCTCCCACCTGGGCAAAGCAGGGGACTCAAGTTTGAGCAGCAGGCGTTGCTACAGGTCAGGGCAAGGTAGGGAAGAGCAGTGGCTGAAGAGGACAGAGAGTGTGTACATATGTGTTCTGCTGGACCATGGGCAGTTAAGCAAGTCTGCAAAGGACTCTGGTTTTGGGTTTGGGGGGCAGGGATTGAACACAGGGTACTTATGACTAAACTACTACTATTTTTATTTTAATTTTGACACAGGGTTTCACTAAGTCATGGAGGCTGCCTAGAATTTGTGATCCTCCTGCCCTAGCCTCCCTAGTCATTGGGATTACAGGTGTGCGTCGAGACACTGGGATCTGTAGAGGACTCTGGAGGGGATGATCACTTAACCTGGCTTCTTGCTTCCCATCTCCTCAAAAGATTATAAGCAAACAATTGTTCACCGGCCTTCATTAAGGAACTTACTAGATTGGTCTCTAGAAGGACAGGATGGTAAGGAGCCCCAATCAATCCCTTCACTCAGCTAATCACTATCTCCCTTGTCAATTTTTTTCCATGGACCAGATAAATATGGATTGATTCAGACCAATCCTGATGTCATAGAATGGCCTTTAAGAGATCATTTGATCTAGTACTCTGCCTTCAAGCAGGCAGGCAAACTCAATTTCCCTCTTCCTTTAAAAGATCCTCCTGTAAGATGAATCATGAAAGGTGGAAAAACGGGTAGAAGAACCAATATTTTCATCCTATAAGGTGGATAATTAAGAGAGACTAGCATGAACAAGGGCCTGGGTTGGGGACGTAGCTCAAGGGCAGAACATTTGCCTTGCATGAGGAAGGCCCTATGTTTGATCCCTAGTACTGTAAGGAAAAAAAAATTTAATGGAAAAGAAAGGTTCAAATATATTATTTTTAAAAGTTAAAATAACAGCATAATTACATAAATAAGAGGTATAAATCCTCTAAAGTTAAATATTCTTTTGCAACAACTGAGTCAAGAAATAGAGGCACAAGCATTTTATTTAAAGCTATGATGATAAACTTCAGAACTGAACACTAAGATAATAAAAGAGTTAATTCTAAGGGAGTAGGAGTAGAGATGAAGGGGACTGTTGGTTTTCATCACAAACTCTTACACTACCATTGGATTTATTATCGAGTGCATGCATTCCTTTAAAAAAAATAATTTTTTAAAAAATAGGTTGCCCTTCAACCTATTTGTATCACCCTAGGCTCTCTATTCTGGTGTTGAGAAGTTCTTTATATGTATTAAGGTCTCAAACCTTTCGTCTTTTTTTTTTTTTGTGGTACTAGACAGAATATCACTGAGCTACACCCAGACCCCTTTTAAATTTTATTTTGGGACAGTCTTGCGAAGTTGCTGAGGTTGGCCTTCAGCTTGCAATCCTCCTGCTTTGGCATGCATCACCATTCCTAGTTCAAACTTTACTTTAGGAAGATTTCAACTCATCTTTCCCCTCTAATGGTAAAGGTAGAGGACAAGTACTCTAGTTTTCCTGTAGAAAACTCAGGGCTAAAAAAAAATGAGTGGGCTCAAGTATCACCAGGAACCAGGTGAATGCTAAATGCACTAAAGGGTGATGGCATCAGGGGAGAGGGCATTCCGGAGGGCAGTGGTCTCAAGGTAGTTAAGTCAATATTGAATCAGGCTGAGAACTCTGTGCAGGGCCATGAAGCTGGTATAAGCAGATTCCAGCCAGACAGCCCAAGCCAGCTCTGGGAGCCCCTGATGAAACAGAGAGATGGCAAAGAAAGCAACCTGTATGCTCACCTTTCTCTGAACTGTTTCTTCTCCCCATTCCCAGTCCTAATTGCACTTGGATCAGGCTCTCTCTTGTCCCATACCAATTATTGAAGGGATTCTCCCAAACCTCTTTCCCAAATCAAAGACTCTCATTTGATTCCTTTAGATTGTGTTCAGCAAACTTGTTCTCATTAAGTGTGGACCCAGCTAAGATGAATCAGGGAAACTAGGGTGAATATGATTTTTGGTTGAGTGAGCTGCTTCCAAGGAGTGAGGCTTCTCTTATAAAGGTATTATAAGCAGATGCACTTTGGCTAACTACAAGGGGGAAATGAAGAAGTGGAATGAGATGGGTCTAGAGTCAGAAGATGGATGGAACTTCATGTGCACTCTTCACTATCACAGGCCAAGAGAAAGACATGGCAGCAACTAGTTTCCTAAGACCCAACTCACTCCAAGTTCTCTTCTCAAGTCAGCATCCTCAAAGGACTTTTCCAAAAACACACTTTCTTTGTTCCCTTAGAATCTGCAGTTATGGATTAAGTATGGAAGGAATAGTGCAGGTGGTCAGCAACTTAATGCGCTGGGGGTAAAAAGCAAGGCAGATGAAACACAAGTCAGGAGCTTGAGTTTCAAACTGACACTCTTAAGACCACAAAGATCCAACAGAAAGACTGAGATGAAGAAAAATTCTCAGGATGATAAGACCTCTGATAATAAATACCTTTGTCTCAGAACCCAGAAAGTTTTGTCAACAAAGTTTAGTTCTTTCCCCAACCCATACCCTACTATTATTAGCCTGTAACTGCACTGATGCCTATAGAGTGGGCCATTTCCTCAAAACGACCATTCTGGAAGTCAAGTGAGTAAGTCACATGCTGAACCTAGGAGTCCTGATTCTGAATGTACAAGCTTTTCCATTGTCTCATCCTCTTTTTCCCAGTTACCCCCCAACCCCACCCCAGGCCTGAAAGCTTATGAAAGCAACCAAAACTATTCTAGTGAGCCAAAGTCAGTAAACTCATTCCTCTTAGATCTGGATTGGGGTGGGAAGACACTCATTCTGTGATCTGTTTAACACAAGCCCCAAAATAAATAATCCAAAACAAAATTTCTCACAACCTCATTCAGTTTCCATGCAGGCCTGTTCATCCCTCCTAGTGGCTGCTCCTGAGTAGTCAACAAAGTGTAATCTGATAGGGACTTCTTCAAAACTTGCTCCATCCTTCAGAAACACCCTTCTGTTCAGAAAAGCCTGAGACAGCTGAGGCTCCCCCTCCTCCCAACACATTTTCTTCATAGTTCAAGGTTTAGCTGATCCTGAAATAAGTGGTATGTGGAGATAAAGAGTGTGACAGAGAACACATAAAGAGTACAGGGAAAACAGAACCAAATGACACAAGGATCAGCAAAAGCCTTCAAACTAAAGGGAGGTGTCAAAGTTGGAAATCAATGGGAAAGGGTACTGTCAGCTCTCTCTCCTATGGGAACAATCCTGCAAAGGGCTGGGGATTGAGAAGGGGGACAGGGAGGGTAAAGACAGCTACAGGGACCATAAAACACCCTAAAGAAAAATGGTGAGGACTAAGGTCAAAGTAGAATGTAAATGATACTTTGGGAATGATGAGGAGGGCCCGAGATCCCTTTCGGAGAAGGGAATAGGCAATTTTTGGAGGCCAGGAGCTGGGTGGGTAGGTGATGGTGAGGTAATGGAATCAGAAAAGGCAGAGGAAGAGAGGGATACAATCTTTAGCTCAAGGAAAATAGGAACTCTGTGCTGAGGTTGCACAGACCCTGAAGGAGTGGGGTAAAAGAGGAAAAGGGATAAGGCGGGGTCCATGAGAAGGTCTGGGGCTGAAGCACGGACGATGAGGAAGGACAAGCAAGGATAGACATATAAATGGAAGGGGTCTAATGTGAAAAGGGTTCACGACTTTAAAAAAATATTCCGGGACGGAGGCAATAGGGGTAAGAAGGGGGGAGGGAATCCCCAGGGTAGAGGGAGGAGCTAAACAGAAAAGGAAGCCAAAAAGCAGAGAAAGACCCCAGGCTTGAGAGGAAAGGTGGAGAAGAAACCCAGGGTGCAGCAGCCACCGGGAGGGCAGTTTTGAAGTCGACCCCAGGTCGAGGGAGGCTGTGCGGGGCAGGGGGGGGGGGGAAAAAGGACCCCCCCCCCCACCAAACAGAGCAAAGGTGACTCTTCGGGGAGGAGTCGCTTACCTCCGGAGGACCCCAGCAGAAGGGGTGCAGGCGGTCGGGGTCGGACTGCCGACACCGCCGCCTCAGCAGCAGCGGCCGCTCCCGGGTTCCATTGGCCGCCTGCGCTTCCCTGACAGCGGCCGCGGCGGCTGCACCAGGCCCCGGCTGCGGGGCTGCCCGCAGCGCTGCCTGAAGGGGCCTTCACACTGCCTCAAGTTGGACAGGGCCGCAATACCAGGACCAAAAAAACAAACAAACAACCCTCCAGCCGGTCTCGATGTAAGGTTCTTCTTCTGATCCCCAGCCCTTCTCCCGGGATTTGCTTTTCTGCTTCCCCGACGCTCAGGACCCTTCCGACGCCATAGTAATCTAAGGAGTCGGGTGAGCTGCCTGGAACACGCCTGTTCAGAAAAAGAAAAGGGGGCGGGGAAAAGATGTTTGGAAGCTCGGAGGGGAGGAGCGGGCGGGGGTAGGAGGAGGGGCCAACACTTGAGAGGCGGAACTAAAAGATAGCGTTTGCTCGACTAAGGAAGCCGAAAAGGAAGTACAAGTTGGTGGATAAATGGCAGTGCGGGCTGGAGGGCGTGGGTGCCCAGTTTAAGAAGTATTGATATGCTGGGTACTTCTATAAGTATATTAACATGCAAATTGTATGCAAATGAGCCCTTTGAGTCAGAGGCCGAGTTAGCGTCATTGCAGTCAGTGACTTTCCCCTCCCCAGTCGCGCAGGACTGTCTTAGTAAATCAGACGGCGGAAGGAATGCTGTGGGGGCCTCAGGGAGAGAAGAGAGCGAGGCCCCGAGGAAGACAGTCGCCCTCACCACCCTTTTCATACTCATCTTTAAGGACGACGCCAACTTTATGCCCCTGTCGCTTCCGGAATGGCGCGCTCCAACCGCGTCAGTCTTTCGCCGTTAGCGGCCGACTCGAGGCTGCCGTTCTGCTGCGAGGTCACCCTCTACCTGGGCAGCCTCTGGCCTCCGCATCCAGGCGCAGACCCCTCCACGGAGAGGTCTGAACAGAGCCGGGCTGGGAGAGGTGAGTGAGATGGCCAAGACTTGAGAACACACACCTTTTCCCGAGACCGAACAAATCTCCAAAGCCGGCCCCGGTGGCGGTTTGTCGGTTAGCAGGGTTGACTGAGAGCCCGCCTTCTCCTCGGAAGCTCCCTTTCCTTTTCTAGGACTTTACTTAACATCCAGCACCCCTCATAGGGTATTAATTAATTAGTCAATTCTGCATCGAGCATAGCTATTTGAGCTGGGATCTTGGATGCCCTCACCCTTGCTGTTGGTTTTGGGATAACTGATGTAACCTCTTTGGACCTTAGTTTCTGTCCTCTCTCCCTCCTTCCCTCTTCCCTTCCCTAAATTTCATTCCCTCCCCCTTCCCATTCTTCTTCCCCTTTTCTCTTCTCACTGTGTTGCCCACACTGGTTCGGAATTTCTGGACTAAGCAATTCTGCAGCCTCTCATAGCTGACACTAGGCAGGCGCCACCTGTGCCCAGCTGAACTTAGTTTCTGTGTCTGCAAGGTGTATGCAGTAATACTAACACCTTACAGGATTTCGTGTGGGTCAAGAGAGTCCAGATTATTATGTAGTACTATATTACTATTATTGGGCCAATAACGCAGGAAAGATGATGAAAGAAAAGTGTTTAATTGGGAGGCAAAATAAAGAGTAATAGCTTGAGTAGCCTGGGTAAAGTATACAGTATGTACAAAACAGAAAAAATGGGTACTTAATTGTTGAAGGAACATGGCAGAGTATGGTTAAATTGATATGAAGAATCCAGCTACACTGTATATGGTGAGTGAATGAATGGAAGTCTTCTTAGAGATATTTGTAAGCAAGGTCTTAGAATAGATTTGGGTATGATCCAGCAGAATAAAAAAGGTGCATATTTGTAATCCCAACAACTCTCAGTAGGCTGAGGTGGGAAGATTTCGAGTTGTCCAGCCTGAACAACTTTTGACACCCTATCTCAAAATAAGAAATAAAAAGGATGGGGGATGTAGCTCAATTGTTGAGCATCCAGGTTCACAAATAAATAAATAAAACATAAATTTTTAAAATTCAACAATTTTAAAAATTAAAAGGGGAGAGGGAATTTGAAAGACCAAAAAATAATGTGTTGAGGAATAGAAACTGGAATTTGCTCAAATCATGGAGACAGGGCAAGAGATAAGCTAGGTTAAAGCAGTAGTACAATAATGAAAGATGAGAGAGAGAGATCAGGAGTGCCAAAGATAGTTTAAATTTGTTACCACTGGTTTGGGGTGGGGATCACCAGTCCACTTGTCAGGGCCAGCAGCTCTTGGGCAGCTTCCAACCAACTGTCATGTAAGAGGTGATGACCCTGTATTAGCTTAGAGTTTAAATGTCGCACATTCCCTCAAGGGATAGGGTTCCAAAGGGCGTCAAGACCAGGCTTTTGAAACATTGTAGAAGTAGATGTGGCAGCCCTCTAAATAGAAAGTTTTTAAATTTTTCCAGTGATAAAAAAACAAGATTCGAGGAATAGCTTTGTTCAAACTTAAGAATAAACTACTTAAAAAGAAACTTTTTCATACCTACAGTCAGTTGCAAGTCTTTTCTTAATCAAGTGAGACCACTCCACTTTCTCACATATACAACAGTACTTAAAGGAGGGAATATTTCAGTTTTCTGTTTACAGCTGGGCTCATATGTGTAAATTTCTGTGTGTCTATTTATTAATTCCTCTTTATGCCTTTTAAAAAAACTTATAGTGTTATTCACGGATACAGTATCTTTGTTTATTTTTATGTGGTGCTGAGGATTGAACCCAATGCCTCACATGTGTGAGGCAAGCACTCTGCCACTGAGCCACAACCCCAGCCTTTCAATGACTTTTTTTCTGTAGTTATTTTTTGGGTCACTCTCTGCTTCTATAATTTTCTTTTCTTTCTTTCTTTTTTTTTTTTTCTTTTTTTTGGTGCTAGGGATTGAACCGAGGGCCTTATCTGCAAGCTAACCACCTATTTCACCACTGAGCTCTATATACACCCCAGCCCTGTTTCTTTTTCTTTTTTTTTTTTAAGAGAGAATTTTTTAATATTTATTTTTAGTTTTTGGTGGACACAACATCTTTATTTTATTTTTATGTGGTGCTGAGGATCCAACCCAGCACCCCACACATGCCATGCAAGCATGCTACTGCTTGAGCCACATTCCCAGCCCCCAGCCCTATTTCTATTAGTCCCTTCTAATGTGAACTCCTCAAAGCAGGAAAGGATTCATCTTTGAATTCTGGCTGTATCCTAGTTTATAACACAGGAAAAAAGTTCATATTTGTTGATATAGCACCAGGTTGAATGTAGAAGCAGATATGGCAGTCCAGTCAGTATTAAAAAGATTTCTACAATTGTAAAACAAGGCTATTATTTTAATGCTTGGGGAAATATAGTTATTTAAGGTGAGTTAATAAATTAAAAATATTGGGTATTGGGCTTTTTATTTGGGGGCTGTGTGTATGTGTTTGTGATGGAGTCTGGTTATCTTGCCCATGCTGGTATTAAACTCCTGGGCTCTAATGATCCTTCCCCCTCAGCCTCCAGAATGCTAGGACTACAGATGCAACCACCACACCTGGTTAGTAAAACTTTTTAAAAATACATATTAGGGGCTGGGTTGTGGTTCAGCGATAGAGCGCTTGCCTGGCATGTGTGAGACACTGGGTTCAATTCTCAGCACCACATAAAAATAAATTAAGGGCTGGGGATGTGGCTCAAGCGGTAGCGCACTCGCCTGGCATGCGTGCGGCCCGGGTTCGATCCTCAGCACCACATACAAAGATGTTGTGTACGCCGAGAACTAAACAATAAATATTAAAAAATTCTCTCTCTCTCTCTCTCTCTCTCTCTCTCTCCTCTCTCACTCTCTCTTTAAAAAAAAATTAATTAAAGGCTCATCAACAACTAAATATTAAAAAATTTTAAAGTATAAAAGTTTTCAGGGCTGGGGATGTGGCTCAAGCGGTAGCTTGCTCACCTGGCCTACGCAGGGCGCTGGGTTCGATCCTCAGCACCACATAAAAATAAAGATGTTGTGTCCACCGAAAACTAAAAAATAAAAAATATTTTAAAATTCTCTTAAAAAAAATTTCAGATTCTTTAAAATTCCCCATCCCACTGAACCTTTCTTTTTGAGGGGTGAGGGTTATTGGGGATTGAACCTGGTACTTAACTACTAAGCTACATCCCCAATACTTTTTATTATTTATTTTTGGAACTGGGGATTGAACCCAGGGGCACTTAAGCACTGGGCAACACCCCAGCTGGATTTTGTATATTTTATTTTGAGACAGGGTCTTGCTAAGTTGCTTAGGGCCTTACTAAGTTGTTGAGGCTGGCTTTGAACTCGCAATCCTCCTGTCTCAGCCTCCTGGGTTGCTGGGATTACAGGCATGTGCCACATCTATCTTTATTTTCTTTATTTTTTATTTTTGAGACAGTGTCTGAGTTGCTTAGGGCATCATTAAGTTGCTGAGGCTGGCCTCAAAATTATAATCTTCCTACCTCAGCTTCCCAAGTTACTGGGATCCTAGATGTGTGCCACCGTGGTAGGCAGAACCTTTTTTTTTTCTTCTTTTAATTCTCTTTTGATTAAAAAAAAAAAAATCGCCTCTGAGATCCCAGGGAGCCATTTCAGGTGTGAATGGTGGTACATGGATGACAGGTGGTTATAAAGGACCCACAATGTTGTGTATACATTTGAAGCCTCTTGCCTTGGTGGGAAAATATGCATGTGTGGTACACTTGGTTTTGGGGAGTGCAGGAAAGTATCAACAGGGCAAGACAATGACATTTATTGGTCTTGTTTAAATTTCATCAAATAGGGGAAAGAAGTAGGCTTATTGTTAAAAAGTTCATAAAAATAGAGGACCTATGTCATAACATAGTTCCACTTAACGTCTCAAATACCCTTGTGGCTTAATATTTTTTTAGGAAGAGTTAATTTCTTTCCTGAATCATAGATATTATGGGCTTTTCTTCCCTGAGAAATGTAAAAGCAGCTAACAGTTATTTTTTGAGCAATAATTATGTATGAACACAAACATTACCTCATTTATACCTCACTATAACCCCCGTGAAAGAGACTGTATTTCATATTATGGGAACTGAGCTTCAGAATGATTTAAGTCATTGCTTTTAAAAATTGTTCTACTTCATTCCAAAATAAATGCATTTTATTTATCATGACCACTAAAGAACACATAAGCATAACTTAGCTAAAATAAGTTTCATGAAACAATATTGACTGTATTGCAATACACTCTTGATATTTTGATTCAATTTTATTTCACTTTTAAAAAAATTGTTTTGCATTCTGCTAAACAGATTTTACAACCTATTAATGGATTTCAATCTACAGTTTGAAAAAACTGGGCTAAATAAATGGGCACGGTGAAACACACCTATAATCCTAGGGGCTTGGGAGGCTGACACAGGAGGATCAAAGCCAGCCTCAGCAATTTTTAGCAAGGCACTAAGCAACTCAGTGAGACCCTGTCTCTTAAATAAAATACCAAAATAGAGCTGGGGATGTGGCTCAATGGTCAAGCACCCCCGAGTTCAATCCCCGTAAACACCTCCCCCCACCAAATCATATGTTAATCAGAAAAGCTAAGATATGAACCTAATTCATCTTTCCAGTGAATGAATGTCTCCCTATGAGCATTTCTTCTCCTTTTTTTTTTTTTTTTGTGGTGTTGGGTTCAACCCAGGATTTTGCGTTTTCTAGGCAAGTGCTCCCTTATGAGTATATAAGAAATATTGTGAGATTTATCTGTCCATCTGTATGTATAAAATGTTTAGTTTTCTCTCATAGGATGAAATTAGCAGATGATGTAGGTTTACTGAGGAACCAAATATGAGAAAAACACTTATAGACAAATGTATAATGACATTAATTCCCCCATTTAGTATGCTTTGTGGATGCAACATTTGCTTTAGTTTCTAAAGAAAGCAGATTGTTAACCACATAAATAGATTCATTTATTTGAGGTCATAGACTAGGCCTATAGAGTTTGTCTTAATTTAATAGTAATATTACTTTATTAAATTTTATTTTATGGTAACATTAAAATGAAAAAAAGACATGGAGGGCAGGGAATAATGGGAGTGGGGAAACAGAGAATTGTTGCTAAAGGGAGTGTTAGGAATGGTAGAGTAGAAGCAGTATATATACTTCCCCAAATCTAAGTTCGGCCCTTCATCTAAAAATTGAAGATTGCTTGAACTATAGAATAACAACTTGTTTTGTTACATTTTAAAAACAGTATAGATGAAGCTACTCTTAAATCCCAAAACACTCATGCAAATCTAAAAATCATCCAGTAGCCTGGTATCCTAGTGAACGGATACATCTCCAACCTACATCTTGGTAAGGACAATATTTCCTTGGATGCTTCTATCCTAGTACCAATGGTTTATTTTTCCATATGCCTATCACCTGTAATCTGTCAGCTGCCTGGGTCAGTCATTTCCCATAAGGATCACGGCAGTAGCTGCCTGACTAGTTCCTTAGACTCCAGTTCCCTATTCTCTAATATTCTCAAACTTCATGCCTTTCATTCATTTATTTTTTCAATAAACAGATAGGGCCAGGACTGTGGCTCAGTGGTAGAGTGTTCACCTAGCATGTGTGAGTCACTGGGTTTGATCCTCAGCACCACATAAGAAACAAATAAATAAAGGTATTATATCCCTCAATAACTTAAAAAATATTAAAAACTAGATGATTGATAATGGTCTGTGTTCCTCTTCTAGTTTGCTTACCCATTTATATATCGTAGTGCTGAAGAGTGAGCATAGGGTCTCAGGCATGTGAGACAAGCAGTCTGACAGTAAGCTGTGTCCTCAGCCTATAGTTTTTCTTTTCTTTTTAGGTATTGGGGATTGAACACAGGGGCACTTTACCAGAGCTACATCCGAGTCCTTTTTATTTTTTGAGACAAGGTCTTGCTAAGTTGCTGAGGCTAGTCTTAAACTTGCAGTTCTACCTCAGCCTCCTGACATACCACTGCTCCTGGACTCTAGTTTATTTCTTACTGTTGTTAATGTACATATTTTCTGGTTGAGATGTTTATTACTATTCTGCACCACCACGCCACATCTCTACAACCTTGTTTTTCCTGGAATGCCCTCTTCTTTTTTACTTTTTTTTGGGGGACTAGGAATTAAACCAAAGGGCACTAAACCACTGAGCCACAGCCCTTTTTTGTATTTTATTTAGAGACAGAATCTCACTGAATTGCTTGGGGCCTTGCTAAACTGAGGCTGGCTTTGAAATCACAATCCTCCTGCTTCAGCCTCTGGAGCCTCTGGGATTACAGGTGTGTGCCACCATTCCCAGGAGGAAAACAACTTTTAACAAGTGCCTAATTAAAACCACATTAATGGATTCCTGCTTTTGGCAGCATGGATAAAAGAAAGCACTTTCCCATTAAACTACAACTAGATTCTAGATAAATTACAGCAATTTCATATTTTTTAGCACATTGCTGAGTTTATTAGAAACTAAGGCAGTAAAGTAGCCAGGTGTGGCACACACCTGTTGTTCCAACTACTTGTGAGGCTGAGGCAGAAGGATCACTTGAATCCAGGAGTTTAAGGCCAACTTGGGTGAAAGAAGGAGGCACCATCTTAAAATAAAAGGCAAAAAGGAAGGAAGGGAGGATGGGGGGGAAAGGAGGAGAAAAAAATATATAACTTTAAGTTATAAACTATCATATTAAGGATGAGCAACTTGCAGAAATAGATTTAATCTGGGGACAAGTGCCAAAGTCAGCATTGTGAACGGAGTCTAAATCTTGGGTCTAGTCCAGGCAGGTGTGAAAAATCTGGGACTTTTTAATTAAACCTGGACTCCCTCCCCACTCAAACCCATGGCTTCACACATTGTAGGCAAACCTCAACTACTGAGCTACATGCACTATCCCACTAAATCTGGACTCTTGAAGGGGCTAACATAGTCCCAGATCAAGAACATCGCTTGGTTCCTGACAAGCAAATGTACATTCCCCTCTGGAGGAAAGTAACCTCAATTTAGACCCTTAGGATTTCCATAAAGTTTAACGAAATGAGTTCTAAACCCCCAAATACAAAATATACAAGGAAACAAGCTACCAAGAGTAGTTTTTTTTTTCTGATGAGAAAACAACGAAAGAGATTCAGACATCTAAAATAAGTTAGAGAAGACTGACTGTAATCCTAGCAAGGGAGGTTGAAGCAGGAGGGTCACATGTTCAAGGCCAGCCTTTGAAATTTAGCGAGATCCTGTCTCAAAATAAAAAGTAAAAGAGGGCTAGGAATGGAAAAAGTAGTTGCAGAACATTAAATAATCCCATCAAATTTCAGAGAATTGGTAGCAGAGCAGGGTGTGGTGGTGTACTCCTGTAATTCCAGAATCTTGGGAAAATGAGAGTAGAGGATTGTATGTTGGAGGCAAGTTTGGCAATTTAGGGAAATTCTCAAAAAAGGGCTGGGCCAGGTAGTCCCAGTGGCTCAGGAGGCTGAGACAAGAGGATCAGTATTTCAAAGACAGCCTCAGCAATGGTGAGGTGCTAAGCAACTCAGTGAGAGTTGCTAAATAAAATACAAATAAAAAACCTAAATAAAATACAAAATAGGGCTGGGGATGAGGCTCAGTGATTGAGTGCCCATGAGTTCAATCCCTGTTTACCACTACCACCAAAAATAAAGGCTGGGGATAGAGCTCAGGTATAAAGCACCCCTGGGCTCTATCTCTAGGATCACAAAAATAAAATAAATTCATAAAATTTTAAAAATAAACAAAATAAAAAGGGCTGGGGATATAGGTCAATGATACAGTGTTTGTCCAACATCCATGAGGCCCTTGATTCAATCCCTAGCACTGGGAATGGGGGTGGGGGGTAGCAGACACACTGCACACTACATTTTCTGAATACAAATTATTAGTTGAAAATTGGTATTAAAAATAAAATTTTAAGTGTCCAGATACTTGGAAATTTACAAAACATTTCTAAATAATTTGTGAGGAGTTGGGGGCCTAACTCAGTAGCAGAACACTTGCCTAGCACGTACAAGGCCTTGGGTCTGATCCCCAGTATCCTCCAGCCCACAAAAGTCATGAATCAAAAAAGTGGCAAAGCTAATTTAAATACCTTTAGAACTAAATAATAATCAAAATACTGTATAATACAAAAAAATATAGGATGTAGAGAAGAGTCTTAAAATTACTTAAGTAAAAGAACATAAAATTAAAACCTTAGGAAAGCAGAAGAAAATAAATATATGAGCAGTTATGAAGGAAACAGAAAACACACGAGAGAAGCTCAACTGGGTGTGTAGTAGCACAGGCCTGTAATGCCAGCTACTCAGGAGGCTGAGGCAGGATTTCAGGTTCAAGGCCAGCCTGGGTAACTTAGGGAGGCTCTGTGTAAATGAAAATAAAACAGGCTGGGGATGTGGCTCAGTGGTTAAGTGTCCTTGGGTTTAATCCCTGGTACCAAAAAAATAAAATATACAAATTTCTGGCACAACTGATCAAGAGAAAAAAAGAGGTGCAAGTAAACAGAAGAAATGAAAAGGAAGATATGAACTACCCAGGAGCAGAAAAAAACAAATAGAAAAAAATATATGGTGTGGGCTGGGGTGGCTCAGTGGTAGAGCGCTCGCCTAGCAGGTGCGCACCCTGGGTTCGATCCGCAGCACCACATAAAAATAAATATATTGTGTCCAACTAAAAAATAAATATAAAAAAAAAGAAAAGAAAAAGTACATCATGTGAGAAAATAAGAGGAAGAAAAGATATGAACTGCAAAAATTCTAGGGAAACACTTGGCCTAAACTGACTCAAGAAGAAACAGAAAGCCTACATAGTCTAATTATGTTAATGAAGAATTTGAACCAATAGTTAAAATTATTCCCACAAAGAAACACCAGGCTAAGGTGGCTTTATAGGTGAGTTTTACCAAACATTCAAGAACAGTTCATTTCATTCTGATATAAACTCATCCAGAGAATAAAACGAGGGAAAATTTCCAGCTCAAAAGGTGTACCATCAAAAGGTCCATCTTAGAAACCTTTTTAGAAATCTTGCTAAAAACAAAGGCACTAACATGTACAAGAATGTTCATAGCAGCATTGTCATAATAGCAAAAATCTGGAAACAGCCCAAATATGCATTGAGAGGTGAATGGTGAAGAATTTGTAGTTTATGCTCTTGACGTAATATTATACAGATGAAAATGGGTTAATCGCAGCTATTACAACATGGATGAATCTCAGAAACAATGGTAAGTGCAAAAAGGCAAACATCAAGGTAGTAGTAGAGTAACATTTTTGTAAAGCTAAAAGACAAGCAAAACTAAACAATATACTTTTAAAGTATACATGTGGTTAAAACATATATATATAAAACAATTAATTAATAAACACAAAATTAAGGACAGTGTTCACCTCTAAAGGGGGACAAGATCGGGAGGATCAAAAACTCAATGGTATTTTAAATGTGTGAATCGAGTACAGGATCATAGTTACTCATTTTATTATTATATTTCATAATTTACTCATGTTACATATATTCTTTATATATCAAATATTACATATTTTTTAAAAAAATCTGCTGTGATGGAAACAAATGGGCAAATGAGTATCTCCCTGAAACAAATCCATATTTCTTGGGAAGAACCAAGATTCCCTGACCAAAGCTACCCTATGTAGAGAACAAAGGAGTTGGTTTACTGCTTTTCCCAGGGACACAGGCGGAAGGTCTGGAACTCCTTCCTTTAGTGCTCCCAGACATGCAGAACGTCCTTCCACACCTCTAGCCTAAACCCCAGTCTTGCCAAGTCAGTCCTGATTATGTATAAGAGACTGACACCTGGTGGACGCAGAATGAATTTAGAGAAATGACTAGGAAGTAAATCTTTCACTCTAGTTGGTGAAAGTGTCAGTAAGGAGACAGGGAAGCAAAAATGAGGAGAAAGTTCAAACAGGAAATGGAAAGAGCTCCATAGGTGGAAAAAAAGATGGTGCCATCTAAGTAAGACTGAGAAGAGTCCCTAAAGAATGAATTCCCTCTCCTTCCTTCTGAGACTGGCACAAGAAGAAAGAAGTTAAAGTTACAGGAAGGGAAATACAAGACTGAGAAAGGAAGCAGCCCTAGCTGGTCTTAGCCCAGCAAGGCAAGACCACATGCACTTTGTAGTTGTAGTTGGGTGTCAGCTGCCTCCTAGCAACTCCCCTTGCCCAGTCTCCATGTGGGGACTCTGATTCCACCACCCTTTTCCCCAATGGTATGGTCCATGGTATAGAATAAGCAACTTAATGTATCATCCTACTGGCCACACTGAGGGGTGGATGTTGACCCAGGCTGGACTAATCAGAATCAATCTTCAGGATTTTCAGGCACAATGATACCTTCTCTTTCTGGCTAGACATAAATGAGTAAACATAATCCTAGGAGTGCTGGTAGCTATGAGGTAGCCCAGACTTAAGATGATTTTACATTAGGCTGAGCAGTGAGATTAAAAACCAATCAGATATTTAGAGACATACTGAGCAACCAGATCAAGCTTCACTGGATCTGGCACTACCTCTGGATTTTCCAGTTATACACAGTAAATCCTTTTTACTTTCTCTACCCACCAACCCTCACCCCCAAGTGTCTCTGTCACTTTTTTCTGCCTATACCTTTATTCTGAGACATGGTCTCCCTAAATTGCCTGATCTAGTTGCCTAGGCTGGCCTCAAACTGATAATCCTCCCGCCTCAGCCTCCCAAGTAGTGAGATTACAGGTATGCACCACCACACCCAGCAATTCTTTTTTCTTAAGCCAGTTTGAGTTAGGTTTTTCTATATTGAAAACCAGAAAATCTCTAACCTATATATCCATCATACTTACCCATCCCTGTGTTCCCACAGGAGAGCACAGGGATTCAGGTAAGGTCATTACAGATTTATTGGTTACACTAAAGCCAAGGTATTAAGCTGGAAAGGTTAGAGGCAGCCACCAGGCACTCTGTAAGACTGGGCGACTCAGTTGTCCTTACAGAGGAGAATGACTACCTTAGGCAAAGAATAGCAAATGAGAAGCAAGTGCAGTGAAGAAGGGCTTCTACCAGGCAGGCAGGCAGAGTTAATATATGGACAACAGACACTCTTCTCCACAGTATCATGGGGGTGTTGCTTCTGGGTCTTTACACTCATGGGTTAAAGAACTTTGATGCACATGCCCCTTTAAGACTTTATTACCCTGTGCTGCCGCATCTATCTCTCCCTTTACCAACTGAAGAGCCTCCTTTTGGCTTCTACTGCCCTTGATGACACTCACTTTTGAGGTGACAAGAGGAATTTTATCTTCTACGTCTTTGGCTTGCCGGGAACTGGGGCCCCTTCCTCCTTTGGAAACGGCACCATCTTCCTGAGCTTGGGCAAACATTGTTCCCTGCTCAGCCTCTACCCCTGGCCCTGGCCTCTCTGATCCTCCAGCTGAGTTGCTTTCCCCTCCTGAGCCCCATGTCTCCCATGGTAACCTCGAGGACTGGGCAGAGTCCATGGCAGCTGCTGACTTCTCGGGGGTGGAATTTCTGTCCCCACTTCCACCTGACTTTTTTCGAGGACGCCCCCGTTTTCTTTTGGCATCACTTGCTATATCCTCTGTATCCTGCTTTGCTGCTTTAGCTGGTGTGTCCTGTCCACTGGCCTCACTCACAGGTACTTCAGCTGTCCTCTTGACACCCTTATCATGGAGTCCTGGGTCACCACCTATGCCTACCTCCTTGTTCTCTGTGCCCCTGGGATGAGTGAGTCCCCCAGGTGAAGCTCGCCCTGGCCCAGGTCCAGGCAGAGCAGGAACTGTTGGTAAGATCATGTTAATGATAGGCACAGCTGCCTGGGGTCCCCCAGCCCTACTGGGCAGGGGCAGTAGGGTGCCTGAAGAAAGCTTGGGGGCCAGGATGGGTGAGGAAACTCGGATTGGTGGAACAAGTGAGGGAGGGGCCCTGGGAAGGAGCAAAGGCAGCCGGGCCACTAGGGCATTGACCTGCGGGTTACTGGCTGATGGTGCAGAGCTCTCAATTACGCTCTTCTTGCGCTCTCCACGTGCTGGAGGGCTGGGCCCAGCCCGGGTTTCCAACTCCTTTGGAGACTAAAAAGCAGAAGACCACAGTAAGGTGTGAAGACTGATACTGGAGGAAATGTAGGCACTGGAGAAACCAGAGGTGGAAAAGTTGGGGACCCACTGGGAAAAGGATATACTTATGCTAAACCCCCAGCCCAGGGTAGCAAGTCAGGGACAAGACCTCCTTACCTGGGCCAGTTTCTCTGGTTTCTTATGGGCTCCCCCCTCCAGGTTCTCTACTCCATTCTTGGATTTAGATGACCGTTCCCGAGGGGCATGTTCATCCTCTTCTGCAGAGGTGCCCAGAAAAGATGATAAAGTGAGGGTGAAGGAGGGTACTGAGGAATGAAGAAACGAGAAGATTCTAACTGCTTAACTGCCAGGGACAGACGGGAAAAGCAGGATATCTAAAGCATGTCTTGGAACGGTGTCCAGGAAGCCAGGCACGGTGGCACGTGCTTCTAATCCCAGCGATGGGGAGGCTAAGGCTATTAAACCCACTTTCTCAAAATAAAAAAGGGATGGGGATGTAGCTCAGTGGTAAAGCACCCCAGGGTTCAATGCCCAGTACCAAAAAGAAAAACAAAAAAAGAAGAAGAAGTCTCCAAGAATATGGGCTGGGATTGTGGCTCAGCGGTAGAGCACTCGCCTAGCACGGGCAGGACCCAGGTTCGATCCTCAGCACCACATAAAAATAAAACGCATTGTGTTGTGTCCATCTACACCTAAAAAATAAATTTAAAAAACAAAAAAGAGTCTCCAAGAATAGAAGGCAATTCCAAGGTGTGTCTATTCTAGGATGTGGGAAGGCCTTTGAAGTGGAACGTGGCTGAGGGTTTCTCAGAAATGAGAGAAGTACTAAACGTAAGAGAGGTTCTACACACCACCAAGCCCCATGGCCTTAAGCACGTGGGCATGTGCAGATCGGGCAGAGATGAGATGCTGCTGTAGCAGGAAGCGGGCGACTTCAACGATGGAACTGAAAGACCGCTTTAGGATTCGCTCTGCCCAGTCACAGGTTAGGGCACAGGCTGCCTCTACCAGTTCATCCCGAGGTGCGGGGGTTACTTCTGGACCCATTTCTGGCTGTGGTGGGAAAGGAAATGCCCAATCACATTCCACACTAAAGGACCTTTCCTCCTGACACTACTAATTGACCAAAGCTGAAAATAGACTGGGGTTGGGAGTAGCCTCTACCCATCCTGCCCCAGAACCCACAAACTCTTTTTCATCTACTTTGGTCTCAGGGTAGCCAAAGGGCACCCAGAAGCAATGTGTACAATGAGCTAGGCTGTGTCAGTCCTTAAAACATGTCCCAAAGACCTCCGACTTTTACTGGGAAGAGAAGAGGGGAGGGCCGTTACTTACACTCTCAGAACCCTTTAAGTCCAGTCCAGGCAGGGGTGGCATAGATACCAAGGTCTTCCTTCTTATGCCACTGTAGCAGTACCTGATGCAAGTTAAGGAGTAGCCAACACTTGGGGTTCTCCTAACCCCTTAGGCAAGTTAGGCTGTTCCCACTGCTGGTTTCCCATACCCTATGTCTTCTTCCCCATGTCCTCCAGCTCCATCCTCTCCAGTCAAGGATACTTAGACTGACCCCGGCCACCAAGCCTTCGGGCTTTGATGTTAGGGAAGATCTCTCTGATGATTTTGCCAAAGTTGGCTGTGCTGAGTGGGCGGCAACAGGCAAGACTCTCACAATACTTCCTGAGTGAGTACAGAATGGGAAGTTACTCAAAGAAGGAGGATACAGAGGATTCCTAGGGATGTGTGGGCAACTCTTTTAAAAAAGTCAGGCTATATCAAGGCAGGGTTCTCTCCAGGGGTAGGGGTTAGTCCTGTGCCTACCAACTCAGGCATCACCCCTTCACCCACCGATAGGCATCATAAACACTCTGCTTTGGCAGACAGGTATCTGTGTGCTCTTCTAGGTGGTTGCGGATCCACCGATAGGCATACATGTACTCCTCATTGGTGAGTGGGCTTAGCTCTGAGCTGCAAAAGAAGTTAAAGGAACAAGATCTCAACAACTGTCCAGGAAGATAGACCATACATAGGCAGCTAGGGAAAGGGTCTTAGAGAAAAAAAGGAGGAAGAGGGGATTGGGAAACTAAGCTTCTGTCCCCAGCTGGTCCTAGCCATGAGATTAGTTCCTTAACAACCCCTAGCAATGACCAACCACAAAATGTTCTCTATAGTACTTCCTCTTATGCCAATAAACCCTCACCTCTACCCTCATGCTAATAAAGGCTTAGAAATCACTCTCTCCTGATTTGCTCAAGATGACAAAATAGAGTTGATTAGCCCCTTTCTGAACCCTATATTTACATGCAATCCTACCAGTCACCTATAGGGACAGATCAAGTCCATTAAAAATCCCTAGGCAGGCCTTGGGCTGTAGCTCAGTGGCAGAGCACTTGCCTAGCATGTATGAGGCACTGGGTTTGATCCTTAGCACCACATAAAAACAAACAAATAAGGCATCCTGTCATCTATAACTAAAAAAAAAAAAAACTCCAGACAGAAGACAGTAGAGCTGTACCCTCCCTTGGGACCCCTCCTGCATCTCAGGAGCTTTTTCTGCTTTAAATAAATCTTGCTATTCTACTGTCCTTTACATGTATCTCATTCTTTAAATTCACGAGAACCCACCTGACATCATGCTCAGTGTTACAGTTCTTCCCAGACTAACACTTCAATGATGTTGAACCAAATTACTTCATCCAGATTCACCGTTCTCTGAGAAACCAAACCCAAGGCAGGGGCCTTCCTTTTGATCAAGGCCAACAGCTATGAATCCAACTCAGCTTGCCATTCTCAGCAAGACTGTCTTTGAGAATGAGAACCTCTGACATCTGAAACTACCACCAAGGATTACCTTTTTTCTCCAGTGCTGGGACCTGGGGGGAGCTGAAGGTAGAGATACAGCTTGTCATTGTCTGAGAATTTCTGAACATCTTGCTGAAGTAGGAGGGAACAAAGAGGAGAAATAATAAGGCCAAGAACAATGAAATGTAGGACCCCCTGATCCCTACCACAAAGTCTGAATTCAGCTGACTTAGAGATTATCAAGACTAGGAAGGGACCTTAGAAATGATTTGAGGCTAGGGAGATAGCTCAGTAGTGTAGCACTGGCCTCACAGGCACCAGACCCAGGGTTTGATGATTTCCAACACCAAAAAATAAATTATTTTTGAGGTTGGAGGCTTCTGGGTGCTCACTGTGCTCTAAGGAACCCTATGGGCTCTCACAGAGAGAAGAAAGCAGAGGGGATCAGCTCTGATGGTATCTCTACTGGACATGTACACAGGGGTCACAGAGAGATGAGGTAAGATGCTCAAAATCAAACTGGCAGTAAGTTGCGAAGCTAATATCTTCTGACAAGGTAGACATAAACCCATATCATCCCACCATCTTCATCCCCCACCAATGCCATCTCTCTGCTGTTCCCTTCCCAACATGCTTACCAGGATTCCCTCTACTTTGTTCTGTACGGCCTTGCTGTGGAGAAAAAAAGAAAGCTGGAGGTCACACACACTGTTTTCCCATCCCTTTGACTGCTGGGGAGGGTAAAGGCCTGAAAAACCAGGCAGGTGCTCAAAGGCTGTGGACCAAGAATGACCAAAAATCTTGCCTTGCTCAGAGGCACCTGTCTGGGAAGACGCAATTCATCTCCCAAGAAAGTGAAGTGCTACAGGGATCTATCCTGCTCTGGAGTAGGATATGGAATATGGAGATGGCAGTGAGTACTTACGAAATGGTACTTCGGATCCTCTGGAGAAGGGTTGTGGGTTCCCCAGCCTCAGCACCACCTTGTGGGGCCCTTGCCCCAGTCTTGGGGCTCTTAGCATCAGGCTCATCTTCTGCCATCCTGGCATGAGGGCTAGAGCTGAGAAGGGACAGGATATGAAGATTTAACTCACACTGGCCTTCTCTTCCCCTGAAGATCCCAGGGCAGCCCTCATCTCTGCCCAGAAAGAAAAACTAAGAGCCTCCAGATTTCCCCAGTGATCTTTTTCTCGCCACTAACTGTCTCCAAAATCCAGAAATTATTCCATTACTTCACCAGGGCCCTCTGTACCCAAAGAGATCTTTGCCATCTCCATCCTCTCTGCCCACCTTTCTAAGACTCCTAAAATTGGAAAACCATCCGGGAAAAGACAGGAGGGCGGGGAACCCACGTTAGAAAGAAATGTTCATTTCTTCTGGAGTCCCGAGCTGTCCTTGTCCCCCTCAAACACGGCAACAACAACCGCAAAACAAAGTTCACTTCTCGTCTTACCTGCGAGGTGAGAAAGCACGGGGCCGCGCGGGCCGGCCTCGCTAGGGCGGGG